ACGACGGCCTCCTTCTTCGAGAGATCGGCCGATTTTTACGCCGGTCCCGATCAACGTGCGAACCTACGTATATATAGTAGGTGCGAGTGGCCACGGGTATTTGGCTATGGTCGGTGTTTTTTAGAAATTTAAGTGGTGGTTGCTACGAGCTCTTGGATTTTTTTTTTTTTTTTTTCTTCTTCTTCTTACCCCAACCGTTTCCGTAAATTGACTTGTCTCGCTTTGGCTGTTGTGAAAAAAGTGCGAGTGGTTTTTTCAGACGCTCTTTGCAGCAACAGCCAAACAAGTATTGAAAATTATTAAATAGCAAAACGTGTATTACATTTCATTTAATGATAATAATCTGTTTAAATCATAAACGTCAGTTGCTTTGGCATATTATACATATGTTGAAGATACTCACTTGATTACACGTTTTTGACGAGCAAAATTCTTTTGGTTGGACTATTTAAATAAATGTATTAAGATAGCCCCTTACGAAATAAGTCCACCAAATGATTACTTGAGCGCACTGTTATTGCACGTTTTTCATACTTACCTCTAATATTTGAAAAAAGACGGATTTACTGAGATTTCAAAAATAAACTTTTGTTTATGCAATACAGCGCAGTAAATGAAAAATATTTGCTTTACAACTCCGTAGAAACGATTCTTATATTAGTTTATAGGTTTCAGCTCTCGATGCCATCCCTGTATATAGCCACAAATGAGGTTTCGGCTTCCATTGTCCACCCGTCTACAAGCGCTTTTGTGCTGCTGTCTAAAATCATTAGGGTTTGCTCATCAATTCTGCATTTAAAATCAGATAAGTTACATGTTTTTTACCATTTCAGGTGATTAATCATTGTAAACTGTTGTATGCTCTTTTATTAGAATTTAGGTAGTGGGATTCTCACAGTTGACTTGCATAATATATTTAGTCTTACCGAAAACGCGTCGTCAAATTCCAAAGGATTTTTTCAATTATTTCATCCTTTTGCATAATGGTTTTACCAATGCAAATTCACACAACTGAAAAAAAGAAAAAAGAAAGAAAAACAGGACTAAACACTATTACAGGCAAGCGTTTGTATAACAAAAACTAATGTCACCCTGTAACCTGAAAAACCTTTTTCGTCCAATTTGGTCAAATAAAAGAAAAAAAGAACAAATTTTTGTTTTATACCCACACGTAAAAAGGCAATCTTCTCGGTTGAAAGTTTAGCGAGCCATCTTTCCTCTCCCCCCCCAGGCATAAATCGGTAAAAAAACCGATGCTCGCGTACAACATTGAGATGAGATGCGCCCGGAAACACGACATTTAAATTTCGGACCGCCTCCGAAACAAGCGACGAAAGAGCCGCCCGAAAAAAAAGGAAAAAAAAAAAAATGGTAACCAAAGACGGCTCTCCCCGAGAGACACAACCGATCGTTGGAGAGTGAGGACACGTTCCCTCGCCACCCTCGAACAATAGCGGCAGCCGGCACATGACGCGCGCACATCGCATCGCCGCCCAATTAACGACGTAAGAAAGAAAAGGAAGAAAAAAAGTGCCCTCATCGAGAAACCGCACCGACACACGCGTTCGAGGAATCAATCCGACGACTCATCGCGATTTTTTTCAAACTCCAGGCGAGCACCAGTTTTCCCACACGCGCACTTTTTTCCCACCCTGTTTGCAACCTTTTTTTGTTTTCCTCCCACCTCGCAACCATGCAATACACTCAACAGTTGACTCACTCGAGAGTTATATACGCGAGTAGGGGGGGGGGATGTCGGGTAAATAATAACCGTACAATCTTGGGATCTCGGATCTCCCGAAAATTCCGCCAGTGTACATCATCACACGCGAGGAAGGAGAGGAGGATTTTTGATGATGGTGCTGCCCCGCCCCGGCTTCAGGGTCGTCTTAATTACCGGGTGGTCCAGTTCGGAATCCCATAAATATTCCCTCCAGAGGCGGCACTCTTTCTGCCCTGAATCCCTGACTTCCCCTCCTCCCTCCTCCTTTTCTTTCAGAGAGCCAGAGACGCCGATAAACCAACACACACGGCAAGAGCAGCGATAAAGAAAGCCCTCCGAAAGAGGGATTCCGGAGGAACTTTATATACACTTCGCCCCACCCCACCTCTAATGTTCTAATCGTGAGATAAGCTAGGAGGCCGCTATCGCGAGTGCATTTCTGAGATATTCGCACGACCCACGGTACCCATATGTGTATACAAATGTACACCGAGAGAAACGGGGGGAGGTATTCGCGAGAAGCAAAGACCCTCTTTCGTCCTCCCCCTCTCTTTCTTTGGTACGATAAATGAACCGCGTACGTGAGGGAACTTTGCGCATGTGTATCCATACGTATACCCATGGACCGGGAGAGAAAGAGATCGGCAGCGGTGAATTCGCTGCCTAATTAATTGCCACACCGGCACCGAGAGAGCGAAGCGAATTCTCGTGCGTGCACACACCGTGGGTATATTATATATACACCAGAAGTGCGCCCCATACCGCTGGGTCTTTTTTCTCTCTCTCTCTCTCTCTCTCTCTCGTGCGCCATACTATTCTATTATAGTAATAATGTGTGTTTTTGCAGAGTTTTTTTTTTTCCTTCGATTTATAATTTTTTACCTTCAACAGCCGTGCCACTGTACATATAGGTAGGTCCAGCGGGTTAATGAGAACTGCTCCGAGAACTTTATTCGTTGCGCGTCCCCTTCCCAACGTACTTACGCGCACGGTCTATGTACATATATACTCTCGTGCCGATCCTGTATACCGGTTTTAATGTCATGCAAATCGGATGCAAATTTATTTTTCACTCGCTGCCTACATATTTGTAGAAGGAAAAAAAAAAAAAAAAAAAAAAAAAAAGAAAAAAAGATCCGCGCGCGTTGGCTCTCGGCTTAGTTCATTCAAGGTATTATTGCCGATTTATAATTTCAATGGCGGTACGTCATCGTCGTTGCGTGGTCAAGAAAGGCTCTACTGCCTATGTGAATCGAAGCGACCGAGTGTCACTTGGTGTATTTCTTCACAAGCGAAGGAGAGAAATGAAGGAAACACACAGTTTATTAACACGTACCATGTGCGCTTGTGTCATGACCCAACACGAATCCGATTTCGCGTCCGTTCGCTATATACGCACCAAAGGCCCAATCGCTCCCCGATAAAAATATCACCACGAGGATGAATACTAACGACCATTAGACGAGGAAAGGGGGAGAGAAAAAAAACTGGACACTATGGATTAAAAAAAAAAACAAAAAAAACCCAGAGTGCAATCGTTAGCAGTAAACAAACGAGAGTCCCAAGGGAACCCGAGACATAATTTGAGCAGTGACTCGTAAAAAAAGAAAAAAAAAAAAAAAAAAGATACGAAACTCAACTCCCATCGGCAACGTTCAAAAGCCATGTATACTCGGGCCGCCGTCAACACAATTATAAACGAGAGAGAGAGAGGCAGATCCGAAAAATCAATCGACGCTCGGCTCACGAAAAATAATCGATGCGCTCACGCATCCCTGCGTTGCGTCTCTATTGCGGGAGGAGGTGGGGGGGGGGTCGAGTATAATCTAATAGGGCATCACACACGGGGGAGGGGGGGGGGAGAAAACGAGCGTACAGAGGAGCGGAGAGACAGACCGGGAGGCCCCGTTTTAAAAAAGCAGACAAACTGGAGTCGAAGCAGGAAAAAGAATAGTCAAGAGAGAGCGCGCCTCCAAGTCTGCTGGTACCGCTGACGAGAGGCGGCAAAGGAGGAGGAGGAGGAGCGCTCACATGTACGTACGAAGCATATCCCTTTATGTTGGGAGTTCAACAAAAGTTCAACTACTTACTGTTTGTTGTGAATTTGTCAATGTTGACTGTGTCTTTTTATCTTGTCTTATCTTGGGGGAAAAAAAAGACACGTAGTTATAGGGTATCATCGTACGTACACGTGTGAGGGGAGTGAGGAGGGAATGGTGAATCAGGTGCTCTCGAATTCCGGGCTAATTTTCTAAAAGTGTCCCGCGCGCGGCCGGCATTTCGGGTACAAATTAATTAAGTGGCGCAAGAAACCCCCGCATCATCGATTCGAATTCCTCGGGAAAATTCCTCGGCTCTATTGAATTATAGTCACCCGGTATGCCTATGTATACACGTACATAAGGGAGCAGCGGGTATACGTATATATTATACATATGTTGGTATTTGCCGCGCGCCTCTTTCTTGTCGCTCGTTACTCGGAATCGGACATCCCGGTAAAATGTCCCTACAACCCTTTCGGCTAATTTGCCGAGTTAGCTCGGAAATCCGTGGCATCCGAAGTTGAATTTCGGGGGCCCACAAACGAGACTCGCATGTGTCCTATACACACAAAACTGCCAGAGGTGCGTTTTTACACCTTTTCAACAGTCAATTAAAAAAAAAAAAAAAAAAATCTCCCCGTACCCTTAAAGGGCTCTTTTGACAATAATTCAGATCGTTAGACATGTACGTGCGTGTAACAAAAAGCAACGAATCTCTGTAATATACACTTGCAAAAATGGCCCCGCCGATCTCTCGATCGCGCCCTGAGACGGGGCACCCATACCGATCGACCCGATCCTGGCGCTGCAGCTCCACCAACACGCGTCCATGAGGCACTTGGCACCTCGATGTATATAGCAGGAGGAGAAGCCGCTCACACACACCCGCGGTCGATCCTCTCGCTCGGGTATGTACATGAATATATATATATATATTGCATACGTGTGCGCACAAGAGATCGGCTCCCTCTTTTCACGACATCAGTATAGTAGGATAGAGGTAACCCGTGCATATGTATATATATATATATATATGCTGGCTCTCACTGGAGAGTCTGGAGCTGCTGCTGTGTGCGCTTAAGTATATACATATGTATACACATTAAACGAACGGACGGCCTCGAGCGGAGCGCCTCTCCCGTCGCACTTATACCTCTCCGATTTTCTCTCTCTCGGTCTCTCGAGACAACCGAGTCGCTGCTGCCATCGGCCACAGTAGTCAGTGATCGGCCGAGCGTAAAGACAGCAGCATCAGCAGAGCGGTACACATCGTTCCAACTTAGTACAGAAAAAAAGTGCATCGGGCACCGATACTCTGCGCCATCCGGGCTTATAGATACGTTATCGCACCAGTAATAACGTTTGGCCGGTGTATCCAAACATATACATATATATACGGAAAAACACGACCAGCAGAGGCATATATATACAGCTGAAGGGGAGCGCGACCGAGAGAGAGTTGCCGATCTCTCGAGCGAGCGAAAAATCGGACGCCCGAGACATCTGGAGTGCCGCGGAGTGTATATCCCCGTTGGTTGTGTGCGTGTGCTCGCGCGCGGATAGATATAGAAAGTCCGGCTCGTTACGAAACTACTTACGGCCGCGCACTTCTCGCCGTGTGCCCCGTGTGTAAAAGTAGGTAGGCTCTCGCTCGGATTTATACACCTATATGTATACGTATATGTAGCAGCGCCCGACAGATCGATCCGTTGTTGGAAGTTCCCTGCCATCGGCCGATCTCTCGGGTTCGGTAGTGGATAGTACCGGTGATGGGCGGTTTCGACCAACCTGCTGGCCAAGTTCTTCAGGAGCCGCATCGAGAGTCGGCGACGGTTAAAAGGACGCGTGGTGCGTGTGAATTATCGGTCATCACCTCTTGAGTACCGATCGCATCGATTTTTGGTGTCGGATCGTTTTGCATGTACAACCCGTCAACAACGGCACAAGGAGCCGAGAGTGATTGTGCGATTGTGTGCTTGTGCGCGCCAGAGTTTACGTACACCTCGTATAAGCATACCTGTACTATAGTATCGTAAGTGGACGAACCGACGCTGGAAGGATATTACTGGACCGAGAGATGCCTTGGCTGGACTCGCGGATATTAGCCGAGGTAAGTGGAAATACGACACAGATCTTCCTTTTCTCTTCTCGTTGGGGCTCTTGTTTGTTTTTTCCCCGTTGAGATTTTTCGCTTTGAAAATCGGTATGGAGATTAGGTTGGCTACCGCGAGATGGGGACCGGTTTGGCACGTCGATACACCGGTTCGTTGCCGCCGCGCGTATCAACATTTTTTTACGGACATAAAAAATTCGCTCCTACCGTGTGCGTATGTATATACCATTGCCTCTATATATATATACGCACGCGCGTGCGTGCGTGTCGTGTGATACCTGTATACCGCTGGTGCTGTTGCTGCCTCGATCGCTCCCTTGGGTGAAATATACTCGTGTGACCTCGAAGTTGGTGAATACATTAATTACGGTAAAGTTCGGATGCTGTATAAGTTGTATACGTGGTGCAAGTCGTAAAATATATTAGGCGTGCGATGAATGAATTTTCATCCATTGTGACACCACTTAGTTAACTGAGTGCAGCAATTTTCCGCTGACACCATTACAACCGATCTCATACCGATCTTTCGCGAATCGTAAAATAATTTCTGCAAGTCCCGTGTGCAAATTAACGCGCTCGCGTAAAGTGTACATACGCTGAAGTGGCGCGTGAGTGCGTGTGTATGCATATTGTACGTGCGATTATTTTTACGGGTGTGTGTACAGCTGAAATCGAGGTGCCGGCGAGAGAGCGCGAGGAAAGAAGCCAAAAAAGGCGGATGAGGAAAAACGAGAGTCGTAAAAATATTTTGTGAAAGTCGCGCTCGCCAGCGCCGAGTCGATTGGACGCGCTCGACGGACGGGGCTTTGTAAAAATCGCAAAAGTCACACATCCGAGCGCGAGCATGTAAACGCATTATCGCCCTCGCGGGTGATGATTTCGCGAGCTTGTGATGTTTTTTCCCCCCTCGATGCAACGAGGCGTGACGGGAGAAATTCACCATATGGAATTTTCTGGCCAAGCCGATCTGGCCTTTTGTTTGCCGAGGAAGAAGAAGAGACTTATTATTTTCGACAATGACGCGCGTCCCGCGACTCGCTGAATCAGCTCTTCTCTCTCTATTTTGTCAATGCATCCCAGTGACCGAGAAACTGCAAACCTTCATCCCCTTCACTTGATTGACAAAAAAAAAAAGAAGAAAAAAAAAAAAGTAGCAAAGCTCAAAGATTCGTTAGGATTCGTCATAGCCGTTTAAACTTTTCGTTAAAGGCACTGGTTGCGTGCCATCGACTCGGTCGCTCGTGACAAATTAGTATATAGTTATACGGTTGTATAGCGCGATGCGGAAACGGAAGTGACACGTAGTTTACTTAGCGCACCTGCGGCCTCAAGTGCACTGAGGGAAATCGTATAAGCTTTCGTAACCGGGACCACGATGTTGGTCGAGTGCAAGCATGTGGCCCAAGGGTGCCGTATATAAGGGAATAACCTCGTGCGTCTCGCAGCGCGAATGTTTAGTATAATACGTGCACGTGTGAATCGTCACATTGTCCCCCGGTGGCCGGGATGCAATAAAGCTGATGCCCACTTTGCTCGCGCTACTCGAGAAAAACACAAATACTTACGACTTTTCATCCAATTTCTATGCAAATTGACCACTTTGAAAATTTGCACGTTCATTGACTCTTCTATATGATGCACATTATGTATACCTGCCCGCAGTGACGTTAGTTTATGGCTTCCTAAAATATTGTACCTTCGTATCTCTCGAGACAACGGAAATGGCATGGCATTGGGAGCGAAAAACGATGCGGATTAGTGTTTTTTTTCTCTTATTCTTTTCCTTTGAAATTGTGGACAGAGCAAAACGAGCAATTATTTTGGGTGAAAAAAACATAATTTTATTGTGCACTTTTGAAAATCCCTTCAAATCCTCCTTAATCGCTCCCCGACGGTTTCACGAAAAATAATGAGAGTACACCGAGGCAACAGCCACTTGCATAACACGGTGTACGCAATTAGATCCAACGGATGCAATGGTAGCGTCACCAGGAAAGCCATTACGCATAAAATTATTATCCATTCAGGCATTTAAATCTCAAAATGAGTATATACTCGCACGTAATGTTTTATCGGGCGTCCCGATTCCTGGACGATCGATTCGGCCTAAATGATCGTCCATGCAGCCATCATCGGGGGATACCTATTGTGCATATTATACGTATACAATATTGACAAAACATCGGTGACCCGCCCACTACCCTGCGCCCAAAAATAAAATGTGCATGGATGTACGTGCCCCGCGCAGCATCAGCCCCAGCCCCGCGTCAGCCTCTCGTCTCGTGACTTCCTCCACAGTGAAAGAAAGAAAGAAAGAGAGAGACAGAGAGAGAGAGAGTAGGCCCGTTGTGTGTGCGGAGGACGTGGAGTGGTTGGGTGACGCCAGAGCGTCTCGTGCGATTGGTGCGTGGGCGGGCGCGCCGTCGATTGGTGGGGGTCACAGCCCGGGGGGAGGAGAGAGAGAAAAAAGAAAATGGTAACGGGCGCTTGCTTCGTATATATGTATATATATATACATATACTATACCTACCTACCTACCTACCTACTACCCCTATAACTTTTGTACGAGTCTGCAGAAGTGAATCGGCTACCGAGCGCGCGATGCTCATGCTGCTGCAGTTCGCCAACGAGCATCAGGGTTACTGTAATTTTAATTTTATAGAAGGAAACGCGTCCAGTGACCTACTGTTTTTGTGTTTTTTATTTTGTGAATTTCAAGTTCATAGTGCTTTAAATTATTATTATTAGTGATTTGTTTGTTTGGTTCCATTTTTTTTTCTCATTGCTTGGAGAGCAGTGCACGGTGCGGCGTGGCCAGTAAGCGTCTGTAAGTCTTGTTAGTTTTTTTTTTTGTCTTAATTTTTTTTTATAATACGTGCCGGTTTTTTTTTTAATACGCATCAACAAAAGCACCCACGTTTATACGCGTTTTAATGTAAAAACCTTCGTTATTTTTCTTCAATACCGTATCTGCATTGTAATGTGCTCGAACGGTATACACTCATCGACGAGGTAATTGGGGTTGTTGTCCCAACAGAGTCGACACATCGCAACCGCATTCTATTGTGTTCAGTTGTAACGGTGCAAGCACTTATCCCCGAGATTCGGGAGGAACCAACGAGAGAGACATTCCGAGTTTATTGCCCGGCTTTCGTGTTCCGTTTGTAACACGATACGCGCATACGGCCACTCAGTTTGCACGCACCATTCGCTCGTCCCAAATGGATAGCTGGTTGATTTTAACCTTCGTAATATTAAGCAATAATTTTGCTACTCACCAATAAACGTTAAATCATCAGTTTTCTACGTATATAGGGGCAAGCCGATTTTTTTTTTTTTTTTTTTAATACATTCGCGGCAAAAAACGAGTCAAAATTCTGCAAAACACAAGAGACGTATACAAATAACAAAGCAAAAGTCAAAGATAAAGTTCTCTCGATGCGTGTATCGTTCTGTTAAAAAAAAAAAAATATCCAGCGATCGCCGCAAACAGATAGAGCGGACCGTCCGACCTGCCTACTTAATTGAAGCAAACAATGCCTCGTTACACCTCCCGAGCGGCAATCTAATCCATCTGATCTCTCGGAGAGCTACTTCTCCTGTGTAGGCATATACATGCTCCCCTGCATCCCACGCGAGACCCTCTCCCCCATATATACACGTAACGTGTCAAAATAAGCAGGAAAACGATAAAGCCAACAAATAGCGATGGGCCATTAAAGAGCGCGGCAGAGAGAGGATGGAAGAAGGATTAAAAAAAAAAAAAACCCGGGCCCCTCGGAATAAACGAGCGGTGGGGTGGTCCCCGAGAGTTGGAAAATTAAAATATCAGAGGGGGATCACAAGGAGAAGGTAACATGTACATATAAAATCAACCCGATCCGAGAGTCCGATGGGGATAATAGAGTTGGCGATAAAATCGGCGCACGCGTCCCTTCCCCCACACACACGCTATTTACATTTATATGTACTCGAAGAATAAAAAAAAACCACTACCTGGCTGTATATATCCTTGGCATCGAGGGGGGAACAGACTCCCTTCCGGCGATACACGGGGTATGTATAAAAAAAAGAAGCACCGGGCAGTACCCAAATGATACGGTTGTATATACTTTACATCTCTCGTTATACTATGATCTCGCTCGCGCAAGCAATGCTTATACAACAGCGTGTTGCCACACGCCAGTGGCGATCCTCGAGGGGTATATGCCTATATACACGTGTGTGTATATAATATATAACGCGTACCAAGTTGCGGAGGAGGAGGAGAGGAGAGATCCGAGGAGCGAGATTACGGGAGCCTCCGCATCAGCAGCAGACAGCTTGGCTCTCCTCCTCGCTTCTCTCTCGTGTGGTTCCCTTCTCCGAGATTCCCGAGTCGCGAGAGCGGAGTAGCCGCTCGGCTCTCATGGGACCTCCTCCTCCTCCTCGCCCATGTCGTCGCGGGTGCCCTTGCCTCGAGCGGCTTTATTGTATACGTATGGGCTTTTACCTCCGGCGAGGCCTTTTTTCGGGGGGGGGGGGGACCGTCCGCTGTCGTCGATGCGCTCCTTTCCGGCCCGTATCTCGCCATCTCGTGGGCGGAATGTTTGCTCTCCCCCCCCCCTCCAGCTTCTAATTTCTGTTTTGTCTTTCCGCCGCATTTTTTTTTTTTTTTTTTTCCAAACAGGTGAGTCAGCCCTCGTTTTGGGATCATCCCCCCCTCCCAAACTACAGCCCTCCCGTACATCATGGGAAAGCGCATCGGGGAGAAAAGAAAAAAAAAGGAAATATCCCAGTAGACGCAAAGTGCCACCGATGAATCTTACCGATCGTTACGGGTGCACGTGCCTCCACCCGATGCAGATCCTCGGACAGATACGGCAGGACCTGCATGTACCTATAATGTAGTGCGTAGGTCTCGAGAGCGCGTTTCCCGGTCCGTAAAGAAAAAAGGAGCATCTTTTCGATTCCCCGTGTGTACGGAGGAGGAAAACTGATACAGTTTCGGTGGGTATACGAGACAAATCGGGCCCGTGTATAATAATGATAATATCTCGTCTGTTCCATCTTTGCTCTCACGGCCGGCGTTGCCCGCAGCGCGAGCTGTATACATGTATACGGCGCACGTCATCGTCATTCATCCCGAACGTCTTCCTCCACCTTTCTTCGTTTTCCTTTTCGGGACCCTCCTGCCCCCCCCCCTCCTCCCTCGTGATTTATATATTTCGAGAGGTAAAAACACTTGTCCGTCATTACCGGGCCGAGTTATATTTCGGGTTTTCCCGGGTGGACGCCCCCTCTCTTTCGTCCCCGACCTTCCGCCGCTGCTGGTGCCGTTGTTGTTGCTACACTTACATTTTTGATAATCACGTCGCGTGAGAGGTGTACAAACAACAACACGACCCACGCGTATATAGCGCCGGGAGTTGTTGCTCACCCATTGAACCACATTTTCGCTTGACGAGACTTTTTTTTTTTTTTTTCCTCTGCGCTATGTATAGGTACCCAATCGATTGTCCTATTTGCTTTGTAATGTGTACCCGATCGGCGGAGAAACCGGACACTCCGCGAGCGTTTCCGTCGCATCACGTGCTCGCCTCGTGTGCGGATGGCCTTGCGTATTATTTCCTAAGCGCGTTACAACTATACACGATGACGATACGCGCGTAAGATGCCTCTGCTCGGCTCGGGGATTAAATTTGGAAATTACCGGTTAAAAAAAAAACCATTTGGCGTCGCGATTAGCACAGGAGTGCGAATCTCGCGCACATGGATACAAGCTCGGCATTATCCGATAGGTATAATAAGTACACACGGGGCCGCGCGCCAGTAAGTCTCGGCGAGTCGCTCGCCTCGCTCCTTTTATAATAACCAAGTCGCGTATATATACATATGGAGAGACATGTAGGCGCGCACGGATACAAGGCAAACACATATAAGCTGCTTCTCCTCCTCGGCAAATCTCTCTTTTTTTTTTGCTTCTCTCGTCATGGCTTGTTTGTCCCGAGCTTCCTCTGGAATTTTTCCCGCGCGGCGCATGCACAAACCCGGAAAAGCGCCGTGTAAACGTCGACCTCTGTATAATGATATCGTTTCCATGCATATAATGCCGCGCGTGAAAAAGTACCCACCAACGAGGATTATTTCAATCCTCCACGCGCTTAATTATAATACCTACTTTTTTTTTTTTTTTTTTTTTGTTTTAATTTTTTTAATTTTTTGATCTCCATCGCGAAATTACTATATATGCTCGAGTATAAATGCGATTGTCTTAAAATAGATTGAGCGTTTGAAGGAAATAAAAAAGGCAGCCGGTGATTCACTGTTGACGATTTGCTTTGCCAATCGTCGCTTCGAGAAAAATCTTCGCTCTTCACCCATTGCCTATATGTATATATACACCAGACTATGCCTGCCTCGGTATATATAGATCCCCATTAGCTGGTGCGCAAAGAGCATCGCATAAGAATATTCAAAGTGTTGTTTGATCAACAGGGAGGGAGATTTAAAAAATTTTTCTTCCTCGATAGTGTCACTTCTCTAATGAGGCGAGCCCGAGTGGTACATACACAACGTGACGAGCGAACCAACGGAATGCAATCATACGATATCACACGTTGTAATGCCCGAAGGGGTGAAAAAAATCTCCATACCGCTTTGAAAGGACCAGCGTTCAATTAAGCCAACGTAGCGATCGATACCTCTATATATATATACATATTTTTTGTTTGGATGGAAGAATAAAATAAAAAGAGTCACTTTTGATTATTGTTCGCAGCTGGAGTGGCAGCAGTGAGCGGAGCCGTGTGACTGGCCGTCACGATGCGCATGTCGCTGCTGCTGAGACTGGTGTTAGCTGCAGCTGGTGCGCTGCTGGCGAGCGCCGTGGCCGACGGACAGGACCACGAGCGGGAGCAGCAACATCGCCAGAACCACCACAATCACCATCACAATAACAATCACAATCACCACAGTAGTCACCATCGGGGCCGGACGGAGCGCCAGAGCCCGCCGGGCGAGATGCTCGGCAAAGCAGAGCGAGCCAAGGCCATCGGGGACCTCGAGGCGAGTCTGTTGTCGCTCCTCGGCTTCTCCAGGAGGCCGAGGCCGGCGCGTCCTGGTCAGGCCCACGTGCCCGAGCAGCTCAGGCAGCTCTACAGGCGAAACAGCGACATCGGCGTCGCCAACATCGCCAAGCGCCGCGTCGCCGGCACCGCCAACACCGTCCGAGCCTTCGTTCACGTCGGTTAGTCCTACTCTTGTTTTTATATCTACATTCTTTTTTTTTTTCCTCAAAGCTCTCGTTTATTAATAAATCCCTTTTACGCCCCTTAAAATCGGTACCGCGCAACCCCAAGGGTACTAAACGACGACGCTTTGTACCGCGTTGTTTCTTACTCCGAAAATATTTAAATCGGTAACGAATAAGTAAATACTCTGACGGTCGAGTTCAAACGCCACTGGGTCACTCGAACGAAAGCAGCACAAAAGAGTGGTCCTTTATAAAGGGCGTATCTGTATATTAGGTGAATGGAAAAAGAAACTGTCCATACACAGCAGTTCATCAGGACAGGGGGTCCCGAAAAAGGACGACTTACGCGCGTAAAATCGATCTCGTTGACTTTTTTCTTTTATTCAACCAGTCGACCCATCGCCTACCTGCTGTACATACATAAATCTGTTTGTACAGGCTAAACACACGAAATCCCCTTTGTATCCGTATATTGTATACACAGCCGATGCACCACAGAAGCCCAAATAGCCCGTAATATTAATGCGCCGCTGATTGACCGCGTCACGGCTGCTGGGGAGGATTTTTAAGGCTCGTTTCTTTTAACGCCCAAACACGCACGACGGACCTCTCAATTGTACGGCTCTCTTTTTTTTTTTTCTTCTCCTCTCTTGGAATCCTTTTCGAACCGGCGAAACTCTATTTTTTTTTTTTTTTTTTTTTTCCTCTCTCTTTCACCGGCCGCGCTGTGTCGCTCGGGTTTCATGATTTATTTGACGAAAGGCAAAACTGACCCCCACGAGTATACTTACTTACCTCTACGTTTGTTTTTACACCGTTTAGCCGGGGATGTAAGTATATATGTACACAAGTATATCCTTTTTGTTCCCTGCATATTGGTATAGACGTGTAGGATTAGGATTAGCTTGCCTCTTCGGGGGGGTACATAGGAACACGAGAAGCCCAGCTTTCGCGATTGATCGCTCTCTTTGCATCTCCATTAGACACCCATCGATGACGTACGCATGAAACTCGCGCTATCAGCCGAAAGTCGTCCGAGTCCTTGATGCATTTACATACACCGATAGGCGCCACTGTTGTATATCATCATTTTCATCGGTATATTACATACACATGGACGCACCGAGTCATGTCCCCCTGCTTCAAATTCCTATGGTGAGTTACGAGTGCACGGCAATGATGCACCTCTTGGCACGAGTTGCAACCGGCTCGCAGAAAAAAAAAAAAAAAGGAAAATAATGCCTCTCGAGAGCCGTGGGGATGCAATGCACCCCCGGCGCTGCTCAGCGGGGGAGGCTATATGCGCGCCTCGAGAGAGAGAGAGACCCGCACTACACAGGTACACGCTACATATACTCGCGCAGAGGAGCCGTATCGCTTACAAAGCTCACCGCCGGCACAACCTGCGTAGGTATACGGAATCCACTCGACTTTATACCTGATGTGTACACACAAAAGAGAAAGAGGAGAAAAACTTTGTCCTTAACCTACTATGTGCAACTGCAGTGAGGGTGGATATAATATATATACGTATCGTGTCGTGACAGGTGACCCGGTAAGAGATATATCTATAGCCGGCTTAACGCTTTGATGGTGTACACATTATGTGTACATACACACACGCACGTATATATATACATATACTTTCCTCTTTCGATTAGTGGGTCTAATATGTTGTAACCTTGGGGGGTCGGCTAATACACTCACGTGGGTGGTACATCGAGGGGACGAGGGGTGATGGGCCTTTGTACCGTTACAGCGTCACAGGTCATCGTGGATGGATTACCTGTATTTATGCAGTATTTATGCCTCGCAAAGCGGGCATTACGGCGGCGCCAAGTAGCTCCAACTGCTCTTTCTCTAAATAAAGTGGCGTAAATTCTTCCTTCCGTGTCTCTTTCCCCCGGCATCAGCGACTCTCTGACCTTTTGTTTCCCTCTCCGTCCCTCTCGTTGCAGCGGGGGGAAAACGGATTTTCTAATTCTACCTCCCTTTGCTTTCGTCCCGAAAGTGCTTCTGGGAATACGTGTATATACATCCGCGTGGGAGAGCCGCTGATGCAGGCGTTGGCCTTATCTCGCAAGGTCGGGCCACATCATCGGTACACCTACTTTGCGGCTCGTCGAGATACTTACTCGGGGAACGTGGATTTTTCGCACGCCGGCATCACGTGACATTTATACACGCCCGTATAACAAGTAGCTGCTCGATCGTTTGCGGCGTGTGTCTCTCTCTCTCTCTCTCTCTCTCGTGTTATTGTCTCTGTGGCGACAGTTGAGCTTACAACATAAATATAGAACACGAGGAGCTCTCAAATTCCGCAAAAGGAGGCGGGCGAGTGGTGTCTCTTTCTCACGAAATCCTCGGGTGTGTAAATACATATATATATATATATGTGTGTGTGTGTACAGACTGTCGCCGTCGTCCGAAAAGCCCGAGATTTTCTCGAAGGCTCTCTTCCTTCACCCGTGTCTGTCTGTACCTATGACTCACCTCGCAAGTATGCTGCACGCGGCGCCTCGTATATTACCATTTCGACTCGATATACTTACTCGTCAACATTCGCTATACACTCGCGTCAATTATATAGAGTATAATACCTACCCCATGGATAGTATGACCGAATCTATACGGAGATCGGTAGGAGATCGTTAACGCGTACATTACCTGGGAACTTATATAGCACCGTGACTATATATGTATACGTGGGTATAAGTGATCCCTTAAGCTCGGGATTCGCAAATGCGCGCCGAGTAGGTAAATATGTTGTATATAAGCGGCCGATCGGTATTCCCGACCACTCCCGAGCCATTACACTTCCGTTTATAGCGCGCGCGCGTGGGGCCAGTTTCTTTTTTTCCTTTCTTTCTTTTTATACACCCCCAACGAGGTTCACTGCATCACGCACGCGAGAGCTATTTTTAGGACTTTTTCATTGTTTACTCTCTCTCTCTCTCTCTCTCTTGAAAGAGAAAGAGAGAGACACGGGCGCGTGCGGCCGGCCGAACCTGTTTCTTTTCTCAACGAAATTTGAACTCGGGCGAAAAAGCGCGACGCACTTTGGGGGACCCCTTCTCTCTTTTCGTTGGATACTATACGTGTATTTTCGTGTCACGCGTGTGCGGCCTGCAGTGTTTTCGACCACGTAAATTTATACACACTCGAGAGCAATGGTCTCTCTCTCTTTTTTTTTGTTTTCGCGTTAAACGTCGATGACGAGCACACTAAACTCTTTCGATCGAGCTAAAAATAAAACGTACGATTTTTTACGCTTTTATTTTGATGCTTTAGCACCGAGGACTGCCCATACCGATGTTTCTCAAATTGAATGCGTGTAAATTGTAAAAAAAAAAAAAAACGATCGAACAAGTTGACGGCCGGTTGAATGTATTTGTAGAAAATGATATTCGAGAACCACGCAACTCCGATACACTTCTGAGAGCTCCTGTCAACACGTCGGTTGAGGTATATACTTATTTGTATGTCGAAGCCGCAGCGAACGTCAGATCGGAAAAGTATACTTCATCGTATAAGTACGTATAAAGCAAACAATAAAATAGGATAAATCGATATAGTACTTTTACCTGTATTTGCACTAGTAAGGCCAATATACCCAACAAGAGATAACCGATCAAGCAGCACTTGCAGAGTATCTTTGAAAATACAAGTTTTTTTAACGTTGGTATGTTAATACGTATACATATATAAGCTGCGGCGATCGGCATATAGTATAATATAATATGCGTAAAGGCAAGATTATTGCGATACATTGTAAAATACACGCGATGATGAAGGAGAACGAGCAGGTTGTTGTACACACCTTTGGCACATAGTCAGCTGACCGTGGAATATTTACGGCGAATGTCTCGGTGGCTGTGTATAACTATGTAAATATATATATATATACATAGATTGCCGAGCAAGTGAGGTCGTCCAAACACTCGACTCGATCCGATCGCGATTTGCCAACTGCGCTAAAAATGTACACCCGTATTTATTATCCGGTTTATACTTTGGCCATTCGACGCGATATGACCGTGCAATAAAGTACAAAAAGAACGCGTTGATGTGCCTCGGAAGCCCAAACGGAGATGCATTGTTTTGTAGCAGCTCGTGCGTGCCGCATATACATATATACACCGGCGATAATTGAGACAAATGGCATTTTAAGTGCGCGCCCGCGAATTCAGCGCCTATATTATACCCACAGTGCTACAATAAATACCTGCACGTATACGTATATATACGGGTATTCGCGAACGAGTTAACTGGGGGGTGGGAGGGAATAGAGAGAAAACGAAGGTTGGGACGAGTCGGTTGCGGCCGCATAAATCGCGCGGGGAACAATGAAACTGGCTCGCCGCCGCTACTCCCGGGGTGGTCCCCTGCAACCGGCGGCGGCGAGCGCGAGAGAGAGAGAGCGCCGGGGATAATATATTATATCAGCGGATAATGGATTCCGCTTACTGCACAATTTGCCCCGAACTTATGGGGGCCCCCTCTACCTTTTCCTCCTCTTCCTCGTCTTTCGACCTCATCTCTCTTTCCCTCGCTTCGTTAACCCTCAGGAAAGCGCTTCGGAGCTTTTGGTCCCCGTCCATCTGTCCGTTCGCGGATCACCGGTACGACGGGCCTTTTTTTTTTTTCCCCCGAAAAAATGTCAAAACTGTACTCTCGAGGACACTACGAGAAATCGTTATACGCTGGACTGCGACCGGTTGACAGGCGATGAAAATATATACACCCGTACACCACCTGGGATACCTTTCGATGTAAATAATTACGCTTTCGTCGCACTTTTCAATTACATATTATATATATACCTACATTCCGGCTACACGGTTCCCCTTGCCATAGTGTATATTATATGTACATTGGGTGGGGGGGGGGGATTGCGTTCTCTTTAATTATATACATATATACGCATGCACGGAGAGGCGAGCCTCGCGCGTAATGAGCGTTACCGTCACTTTGGCTATGTCGTTACCCCCGTAATTTTTCCGTCTCTCCTCGTTTATCATTATTTTCCGTTTCTTTTTATTTTACCCCCTTCCGCCCCTCGGTATATACATATATATGTACGTATGGTATGTATGTATCCAGTAGCCGTGCGACGTGTATATAATACATTATGCATCAGCCGGCCGAGCCAATATTCCGTAAGCGCGGGTCCTTTTCTTCTCTCACCGCAGTCTATTTATGTGTCCCCTCGCCGCGCTTGCGGACGGCCAACGCCGCATTGTCAATTACCCTTCCTCAATCTTCCGTGCGATATACATATATATATATGCCCGGGCAGGGTGTATATATACAAGTACCCTTTTTGCGCGAGCCCGTGGCCCACCGGCATTCGCGCGGAATTGGGCCGCACCGGCGAATTCCGAAATCGCGTGATTACCGCGGACACACGCGGGCGTTGCGTGTATGCGTCGCACGTTCTTCCCCTGCATGGGAATTCCGGCGATCCTTGGCATTCTTTTCCATCCTCCTCCTCCTCCCTTGCCTTTTTTTTTTTTTTTTCTTCCTCCTCGTCTCGCGAACCAATTCGGTTTTTGCCCCCCAAAGTGGACGGTTCGCTCGCAAGGCAAAAAGACCCCCGTCCCGTGTGCTCTAATTTCTGATGGTTTCATCGGCACCTCGCGTGCGAGCTTCCATACGTGTACACCCTCTGCTACGAGATTGCACAGTTTGATTAATTTTTTTTTTTTTTTTCACTCCCACCGACGGTGTTTCGTCGAAGGGCCTAAACATCTTGGAACGTTTCAATCACCAAAATAACCCAAGCGTTTTGAAGACACATGACTTAAGATTTTGTACATTATGCTCGTGTTATACTTGCAAGGGACAAGTTTTCGTGAAATTTTTTTTTTGTGTTTACTGTTTGTTGAACCGATCTAGGTATACGGTTTTTTCCGCGTCCGATTTTTTTTTTTCTTTCACTTCGATCGGTATTGGTATCGGTTTCACAAAAGCAGCTCGTGTTTTTCACTTTGCACGCGCATAAACGCCAATAAAATGAAAATTATGCACAATCAGAGAAAAAAAAAGAAGGAAGAGGATTCTTTTTTGTTTTTGTTTTCGAGTTTCGTCATCACCCCTTTTTACCTCGGACTGCTAATAATAGTCCGAGAAACGTGTTTCTCTCCCCTCGACGTACATATAAGCACGCACTTTCCACATTAAGCCTCAAGAAAAGAGAGCTTTTCGTTCATCTTTGTTTTTGCAAGGAAAACTTGTAAATAATTCATTGGTAAAAATAATAAATACTAATGGAAACCCCCATGTGTATCGTTACAGAGAGTGAACTGGATGGTGCGTTCACGTCGGCGCATCTCTTCCGGCTGGCCTTCGACGTGACCAGCATCCCCGAGAGCGAGAAGCTCCACGGGGCCGAGCTCACTCTGAGCCGAAACGGCCTGAGGAGGCCAGGGTTGAGCGACGACGCCAAGGAGACCCTCGTCCGCGTGATGGTCCACGACATCATCCGGCCCGGGGTACGGGGCAAGAGCAAGCCACTGCTGCGGCTCATCGACAGCAAGACCCTCGACATAAGGTCCAACGCGAGCGTCAGCATGGACGTGCACCCCGCCGTCGAGCGCTGGCTCAGCAACGAGCCCCACAGCACAAACCACGGCCTACTCGTCCAGGTAAGACCATACACGATTCAATGTCATCATTACCAACGCCAATACATATACGTGTAGATCGGAGATTGAGGATTGTTGTTTGTTGTCGCGTCAGGTGGTGGGCGAGCCAACGAGGCCCTCGAGCCCGCATCACAAGAGCGAGCACGTGCGACTGCGGCGGAGCCTCGGCGAGAAGCCGGACAGTTGGCAGAGCGTCCAGCCGAGCTTGTACACGTACACGGACGACGGGCGCAACAGGAAGCAGTCGAGCGCGAACGAAATGGTGGAGCGTAGGGCGCGCAGGGCGGCGATGCGGAAGAACCGGCGCAAGGACGGCCGGGAGAATTGCCGGCGGCACCCGTTGTACGTTGACTTTGTCGACGTGGGCTGGAACGATTGGATAGTCGCGCCCCCGGGTTACGACGCGTTCTACTGCCACGGGGACTGCCCGTTTCCCCTGGCGGCGCATCTCAACTCGACGAACCACGCCATCGTCCAGACCCTCGTCTACTCGACGAATCCGAGCCTCGTGCCCAAGGCTTGTTGCGTCCCGACCTCCCTCGGCTCGATATCCATGCTTTACCTCGACGAGGAGAACAAGGTGGTCCTCAAAAATTACCAGGACATGTCGGTACTCGGCTGCGGCTGTCGTTGAGTTGCAGGCTTTTCTCTCAAGCGCGAAAAGACGATACCGTCGGTGCCGATCCCAAGGACAGCCCACAAGTGCAGATATATATGTGTATATTAAAGTGCGCAGTTAACGAAAATTAAAAAAAAAAGAAAAGAAAAAATGTCGTGTGCGTCCGTGTGTAATTATAATTAACGCAGTGTGTGTCTCTCTAGTGTCTTTGTTCGGGAGGTCCTTCCGTCTCAAGTCATATAATTATGCGTATATGGAAACAATATGACGCGTCGTTGTGTATACGTGGACTCGATGCGAGGAAAAATTTACGATTGCCTCGATTAATTGTGTATATAATGTGTATAATTTAAATATGGGTGTAATATATGGAATTGACGGTGAAAGCGATCGGTATAAGTAAAATCGGTAGTGAAGATCTCGTTGAGCGATTCAACGACGCGGTACTTGTAAATTGTCCCCCACCGCTACGAAAAATGTGTTTGCAAAAGACTCGATATCGGCTTTGGCAATGACGATGATTATAATATATATATATATGCACCTACCAACACGTCGAGCAACAGAGAGATGCGTATGTAGAGAGAGAGAGAGAAGTGGCGGGCAGAAGAATCGAGCCGAGCACGCAGCTTCGAAGACGATGAAGAGGACTATAAAGTCGAGAGGAGGAAGGAGAAGCAGGCAAGAAAGAGCGAGCGAGCCTCGAGATAGGCGAAGAAGCCGAACCTCCTTGGGCACGTATAATTTATTAATAAGGCTGCCGAGAAAACCGGTATAGATTTATACAGTCGTGGTGCGCGCACACACATTCCACACGTATCTCTCTCTTTTTTTTTTTTTTTTTTCACTTCTACCTCTGTATGGATGTGAATGCGCGTGTGTGTGTGTGTGTGTGTACACGTACGCGTTGATCAACACACCGATCGAGCGAGAGAGACGTCCAGTCCGCGATAGAACAAGAAACGCGCACACGTATACACGAACGTGCGTGTACACATCGCTGATCTCTCACTCTCGCGTCGTACGAAATAAAATAAAAAAAAAAATAATAATAATAATAAATGTTTGCGAGCCACTCCAATGCTTATTGTGTGTGTGTGTTGGATATTTGCGTGTGCGCGCGGGACGCCAAGAGCGAGCGAGAAAGTGCGCGTGCGGCAGCCGATTCGGTCTTGCGTCATTGAAACAGTCAACAACCCGATATAATATATATATACTGCTGTATAGAAATGAAAAAAAAAAAACATTTTTTTTTTAACTTAGTCCGCGTCTGTGTGTTATAAATGCGTTGGTCGGTGATTTTCCGACGAATATGGAAAATAAATGTGTACAAGGGAACGTGGGTGGAAAGTGAGATTTTTCGGTCGTGAGGATTGCAAGCAAATACGATGAGGAATTTGGCGATCGAAGGGGGGGGGGGGACTCGAAATCAGTGCCCAGCCGCGGAAAATGTAAAAAAAAAACGCAACCGGCTAATTCTTCCTCGGTGGGAGCAATTGAAAATTGATTTGCAGCTTCGAGACGCGAGCTGTTGTGGAAATAATATTTGTACAAGTGTATATGGACGGGACAACGCAATACCCCGTTGTAAAAAGAAAGGAAAAAAAAAAAAAAATATGAAAAAGAAAATGCAATCTATTAACGAAATATTCATGTGATTTTTATTATTTTTTTATGTAATTTTTTTTTTCTTTGCCTAATATAAAGAAAAATAAAAAAAATAACGTATATTTATCGTAAAACCGTACCTGCTTAAGGATTACTATTTATTGTATCATTGTTTTTTTTCTCTTTACTGCGTATTATACCCAATGGATTGTATCGATGCGCCGTAAATGCATTGTGTTATTGATGTAACCATCAAATGGATGAATAGTTAAGTGTGTATATATAATCTGAATAGACAGATACGAATGGCGATTGTTCGTTTGACGGTACGTAATGTATGTAGGTGAGGAGAAAAAAAAAAAAAAAATAATAAAGTAGCACATGCAAGTCATCCGTCATGTAAAACGTGTGAATAGGTAATTTCTCTCGTGTACACATTGTAAATAATTATTGTAAATTATAATGCGTATGGACATATATAAATATATATATATATATTATATATTATTAAAGTAAAATAAATATTGCAACTCAGAAAAGAAGAAGCATAGAATTTTTACTCCAGTCGAAATATCGTTTTTTTTTATCATCATGCATCTCACTTGTACACACATTTGATTGTGTAAATGGTGAAATAAACTCGGAATGGTTAAGCCAAAAAATACACTAGTTGTACTTTATTTAAAAAAAAAAAAAAAAAAAAAACCACCTTTTCCCACTTACATTTCATTACATTTGGTAAATTACATCGGAAATTACAAGTATCATTGAAAACCGTATAAAGCGGGGATTCCCCGGTTTTTGTCGAAAGAACCAAAAAAGAACGAAACAAACATTTAAATCAAGTATCCATACTGACGCGAAAGAGCGTCAAAGTGCCCTCACTATTTATTTATCGAGGAACGAAGGAACGCACATACATACCACATATATACACCAGCAGCTGCAGGCATTTCTCTTTTTCCCTCTTACATCCGCGCACCGCAACAACAACAAAAACGAGGAACGAACGAACGTTCTCCGATTGCTGCAGCTCTGCCGCGGTGATAATATAAGTACATACATTCAGCTCCGCATACACATTATCCAAGCCGTAAGTGTAAGAACCATAACTTTACATATAAAAGCGCGAATGTCCAAGTGGGCGTGCAACAGTGCAGGTATATATTATCTCTCGTGCGATACCTATATATACCGATTGGCGAGTCGCGGAGCGCGCCTTGATCGGCGTCAAGATCACATTAACGATAGTACAGGTATACACGTTCGCGCATCTCGCGCTATACTCCGTCCTACGCTTTATAGCCGAGATTATCGTTCCTCGCATTGGCAATTGCATCGACGGATAAACGCGCGGATGATGCCTTTTTTTTTTTTTTCGCGGTTATATCGTGCCAACTCTCGGCTCGAGTGTTTATTCTTGTAGAAACGTAATGTGCCACGCAAGGGGACTCGTTTTAGAGCCACGCGAAACTAATAGGTCTTATAATAATTGATTCTATACAGTCATGTACTTGCGCATCAAATCTATTGATTGAAGTGTTAAATTTACCTTCGGTGGTTGGACGTGGATACGAAGATTACAGTTTCGTTGGAAAAGTTAAAACGATATAAAATTCACAGCCACCGTCAAATTTACTCAACAAATATCCTTTTCGAAAAGATTTGCTAACTTGCTTGTATATACTCCGATAATAATATTTAGAAGAGAAAAAATTAAGTTTCACCCTTGAAGCCGTTCAGTTTGAAAGCGACATATTTTGTTTCAGTTGAAAAATCAGTACGTTGAAACTACAAATTTTAACTCGACAAAAAATCATAGGGAGACATTGTAAAGATGCGTCACGCAGTACTTAATTAAGTAATGTTTTCAACAACTCCTGAAATCTCACATTGACTTGTCTCGTGCAAGCCCCACTCAACCCTCCCCTCAAGGATGAACAAATTACGAAGACCCTTCGAGATAAATATATATATATATATATATATATATATGTATATATATATATATCCTAAACTACTCGTGTCCCGTTCACTTTGCAGGACCCCTCATCGTCCTTGAACTCCAGCTTGGAAATCTCTCAATCGCGCGGGGCAAAGATGATTTTTCACCTCCCTCGCAGATCTGAGTCGTTAACGGGGGCCGAAAAATACACTTTGTCGCACCGTTCAATTATACCCTTGTATACTCACGGCCGTGGCAAACAAAAGGCCCAAAGTTTCGCAGAAGGAAACACACACTCGCGCACAAAAGTAAGCATATAACAAGGCAGGATACTTACGGGAGGGCCGGGGGCGGTGGCTCGAAATGCTCGTACAATACATACACCGTCGAGCGGTATATTACGCTGCACATGCGAAAGGGAAAAAAAAAAAAAAGAAACGAGGCAAAAGAAGGGGTTGTCGAGGGGGGGGGGCGCAAAAGCGTGCGCGAAAAAGGAGCCGCGCGTCGCGTTCCAAACGTATAATTCACAGCTTCCCTCCTCCTCTTTTTCTCTTTCCGCTTGCGTGCAAGTATATATTGCTCGTCTACCCTCCCCCCTTCTCACCGATGACCATACCTATACGAGCCATTATAGAGACGCTCGTTTCAATCGGCAAAGCATTCGGCATTCCAAAAGGAGGCTCACCCCATACACCCATGCGTATATATTATGTATATATGGTGTCCATGTGGAGGTGGGCTAGCGCGTTATTCGTCCGGACGGGGGGGAGCGAGCGGCGTGATTATCGAGAAAAAGGCGAACCTCCTACTAATAAGAGCCGCATGACAATTGGCCTCTAACAGGCCCCTTTACCATCTCTTCCCCACTTCCCCCTTCGTTCTTTCCTCTCTCTCTCTCTCTCTCTCTCTCTGCGGTCCACTCGACCCGAGTCTCTGATGTTGCTGATGGCAGAAGAGAAGCAGTTTAAGAAGGCGACGGCAAGGAGAGAGAGGACGTGGAAATTGTTTCATAATGAGGGTGATGCGGCCAAAGTCGAGTGCCACGGCTCTGGCTCTTTGTTTTAGAGGAGGAGGACGACGAGGGACAGAGAGAGAGAGAGAGAGAAGAATATATATGTATGTATGCCCCCTCGGGGAGAAATGAGGATGTATATGTGTATGGATGCAGAGAGCCGAGAAGTTGCTCCGCCACACAGGTTGCACGCGGTTTGCGGTGGTTCGTTCCTTCTTCTCTTCTCTCTCTCTCTCTAGGCAACGACAGCGCACCATCCCCGCGATATTTGCTCCCCCTCGCATTTTTGCCTAATCTCTCATTCTTGTTTTCTGTGTGTTTCGCTCCACACCCCTCCGTGTTTTTTTTTTTTTTTTTTCCTTCCTCCCTTCATCCAGCTGGACCTCTTTTTCGGCTGCCCGCACATTTTCAACTAATTTCTTGCCCGTCCCCGCCCCGCGCCGTCATCTCTTCTATATCGAAGTGTTTTTTTTTTTTTTTAGACGAGGACGGGCTCTCCGCGGTCTTTTGGGGTGTCCATACGTGTTCCTCGTCACTTTCTCGTGTACACGTGTGCGATCACTGAAAAGGGAAAGGAGAATAATCGGGCAGGGGGGGAGGGATAGTATCTCCGATGCGCGGGTATAATGACGGCTATCTGGACGCCGGATCGCATCTTGATTCCACGGCTGCGTGAGTTTTTAGTAATTGAGCGATCTCTCTCGGGCCGGGGGACAAGCCGTTGGGGCGAATCAAATTAGCGGGTGACCGCCGCGTTGGATTCGTTACACGCGCTCGTGCTTTTGTCAATCTACTTCGCGGCGACACCGATCGGCCGTCCTTTTTTTTTTTTTTTTCCTCCAAGGGCAATTAGGCAGAAACTTTATCGAGCCGTGAGAATTTGGGATTTTCGCCCCCTAATCGACCACGGGGTATACACTTAACTGCCTCGGGAGAGGAGTAACGATCGTTGCAACGTTAAAGGAAAAGGAACGAATAAAAAGATTTTTTTTTTTTTTGTCCATCACCTCACGTAAATATATATAAACGTGTTGCGCAACGAGCCGATGCCTTTAATACCCGACCGCGTACACCTTGTGTCAATATATATATGTGCGCGTATTAATCAGCATCTCATTATCCCGTCAACACCTAGGGATCAGATTCAAATCAACTTTCGACGGACGACTGCGCTCGCGATACCTTGTCCCTTCCCTTTCAAATCGGCCTCGATCTTAATTGAAAATCTCGAGCACGCGTATACCCACACATATACCTTTTATCCATCGTTCACCGATGTACACTATTACACTGCAATATATACGCTTCTTGTTTTCTCACGAAATTTTTACCCCCCCCCCCCCCCCGATATAAGCACACCGTGTACCACCCGCTCGCGCGCAACCCTTTTTTTTCTCCTCGCGCGCGAATAATAATTTATCACCCTGCGGGTTCTTTCAAGGGAACATACATGTTTTAGCTATACCGAGGTGTATATACCTATACACTCGATGAGTCACTCGCAGCGTATGTTTATTTATCTGCTTCACTTTGGAAAAGCTTGCTATTCAAGTACAGTAGTTGCACAAAGAGCCAACACGAGGCTCACCCGACGTAACGAGGGATCATGGCTGCTGATTTCTCTATCTTCCCCAACAACAAAAAAAAAACAAAAAAAAAAAGCGCACAAAAGGTAGAGTATTATATTAGCGCTGTAAACAGAGTATATACGCATACAGATGTATAATGTTAAGCCGTATACACCTTCAGAGAGCATATATTTATGTATACAGCAGGGAGCGAAAAAGAAGCAACAGCAGCGAGACAAGAGGGCGGGGGCGAGAGAGAGAGAGAGAGGACCCCTACACGCACACACAGGTAAAACTAGCACAGCCTCCAGGAGAGAGAGAGAGAGAGAGAAGGGGGAGCCGGCGAAACATCCACACGGAGGTAATGGCTTTATTCCCGGCAGATAAACCAGAGAGGAGTAGCTGCTTCTACATTATATTATATACCTGTATACGCATGGTTTTACCTCTCGGGAGTCCCTCTCCTTATCTCCCCGTCATCTTCCACTGCTCTCCGAAACACAGAACCTGCGAGGGAGAAGAGGGAAAAAAAAAAAAAAAAAAAAAGAGAGAGCGCCCCGATGCTCCTGCCGTTCCTTATCTGCCCTCGGCTTCGCTCGCATCTCTCTTTCACTCGATTCTCTCTGCTCTCCCATGTATACCTACACCGACTCCCTTACAGCCTCGGCTCTGTGTGTTAAACTCTCGGCCCCCATCGGAGCTTAATGACAATTTCAGGTAGTAAGAATGCGAGAGAGAGAGAGAGAGAGATGCTTCTTTTTAACGGCATTCCCGTGTTCTCCTTTTTTCCTCTCTTTTCCCTCAACTCTTCCCCACCTCCTTCCCGCTGCTCCTGTGAGAGAGACGTCGCGGGAGGATGAGATTTTTAACGGGTTGATATGGGAGGGATATACAGGAGATATGCCCCCTTGTACGCGCGCCTCGAGGAATCCGGGAACGTGTCGTCGAGGGCCTCTCTTACGCGTATAATAATAATTATTCGGTGGCCCGCACGTGTATGTATACTTACGAGGGGACCCGGACCCCCGTGAAACAACCATTTTCGGGATGAGGACGATCCAGGGTACGTACATGGGCCCTGCGTGTGTGTATTCATATATGCGCACTTCCGCCCCGGGGTCGAAGAATAGAAACAACGCGCTGGAATGTCCTTGTTTTTCGGTGCGTGGACGCGTTAGAGGTTTTTTCTTGCGAGTGCGTGAGCGTGGAAATATTTTTTTTAACATATTTCCGCCACTCTGTATACACGAGTGGTTTCTCAGGGTATTCTTTTTTTTTTTTTTTTTTTTTGTAAAGTGTTGTCGGTTGGCGAAATGACAAATCCATGTGTTTTCAAGTTATTTATTCGATTCAAGTATGGCTGGTGAATGACTAACAAAGTGTCAACAGGACAAACATGCGTATAAATTGTTAATACAATGTGTTTTCTATATAGGCGACGCTCCATCTCGTCATCGTCATCGATTCGTTTGAGCATAATTTTTTTTTTTTTTTTTTTTTTTTTTTCCTACCTCAAGGTATATGTATACGTAATTCTACGATCGCACGCTTCTTACTAAAAAATATATTTATGTGTATACATGTATAATTGTTATGATTACTCGTTATTGTAACAATTTAAAAACGACCATGCGGTTTGCACAAAAATTTCGTGCGGTTAAGATTTTTCAATGTTTCATTCGGATCGACTTACAAAATTAATCGTTCACTATAACATGTAATGTTTCTTACAACTATTCCTCATCACGCTGTGTTCGGCAGTTGGCCTACATGCCTATGTAACGCGTGATATTTATCAGCAATACCCGAAAAACAAAAAAGTATCGATGACAATGGAATTTTTAATTAACAATAATTAATATCGACTATTAGCGCGACATTTCTAACCCAGCGTTTATGGCGAGTGTAAACGTAATAAATTTGTATGAAAGTATACATTACTCCTTCACCGTTACTTTGTTTTTATGTCTTTGGTTTGGTGTCAAAGTTTCGAAAAGATATGTTTTGGGAATAAGATATATTTGCCTTAGTAAGTAAAACTCGTTGAAAAAAAAAAAAAAAAAGAACAAAAAATAAATAAAAATCTCAAGCGTTTAAGCCGATTTCTACGAATTCGAGGAAACAATAATTTACTTTAATCTCAGTCTCTTCAGACTGGCCTCAGACCCTTTATGTAATTTATTAAGACGGATCCCTCTATTTGTGAAACACTGACAACGGAAAAGATTAACCACTGAAAATCGGCCAATATATCTTACGACGACGAACAAAAGAATCAGTCAAGGGGGGTTGTAAAATTCGGGTCACGCACCACTTATTTATTTCCTTCCTTCTTTCCCTCGACTTCCTCGGGACTGCTCTTTACCTTATCTGTTTTTTCCTCCGTAATTTTCCCTTCGGGAAAGAGTATGCGAATAATGTCAGGTTTGTTTACTTTACCCATGCTGTTTTTCGGGATCTTATTGACGACTTTGAGTATCGTGGGAGCGGCATAAGCTGGAAGCACCTTCTTTGCAAAGTCGCGGAGTTGCGAGAGAATGAGTTCCGAGCCCTCATTCAGTACTACAATGGCCGCGACCTATAAGTATAATTATACATATTTACTCTGACGAATCAAATTTTAGGACTTTTTAAAACTCACCTTTTGGCCCCACGTCAGGTCTCCTACGCCAACGACTGTGCAATCTATCACATTTGGGTGACCTAATATTACAGTCTCCACTTCCACCGCGCTGACTTTGTAGCCGCCGCTTTTGATGATATCAACTGAGCTACGCCCCAACATCTTATAAATACCTTTGTCGAATTGTACCGTGTCATCTGAAAAAAAAAAAAAAAAAAAAAATCATACATATTTGAGATTATTGAAGAAAAAAAATCTAATTTTGGCAATGATAAAAACGTACCAGTTTTGAACCATCCGTCTTTTGTAAAGGATTTCTTAGTTGCTTCTGGCCTTTGCCAGTATTGCTTAAAAACACCATCCCCCTTAACTTCCAGATCTCCTGTCACGGGTGCCTTGGAACTAGCCAATATGTGACTCGATTTTGAGTTACCCTGAACTAGAATTTTTGGACTGCTTTCATTTGCGGGGTTTGGTTCGGTCAGTCGAACTTCGACTCCCGGCAGCGGCGTTCCAACAGTGCCTACATGAAATTTTATTATTGACATAGCCGTAAATTACATCCGTCAGAGGATCGTCCATAAATTACGCCGCTCTGTTTTGGATCATATTTGTATATCCTCCCTCCCTCATCTTAAGTGAACTGCTGTTTCTTTTCTTTCGATACGTTACCACCGAGAGGGAAAGTAGTTTTTCAGTTGTGTACATTAGGATTGTTTTAAAGTTTCCCAACATTCGCGACACCACATTTATTTACCCAAATTGAAAAAAATACGTATAGTCATAGAAATAAATTATAGTGGAACTTGTGGAACATAACATCAATCGATATTGCTTGTCAAAGGGAAGTTTGATTTAACTGCATTTCTCGTGACTCTGACACTCTTTAAAAGGTTCGTTAAGCTTTTAAAAATGCTTGACTCGATTTAAAGTTAAAACTACGTGCTTTTGGCTTAGTCACGCCCTACTCTCAGAGGACCATGACGCAGTTTATGGACAGTCCCAAAGAAGCTGCCTAGGGATTAAAGGACTATACCTGGAATGCGATCTCCTTCGAGAGGATTTGACAAAACCATGCCAGTTTCAGTCATACCGTATCTTTCAAGTAATTTGTGTCCTGTGATCTCCTCCCACCTATCGAATATAGGTTTCGGCAGTGGTGCCGAGCCGCTTATCATCAACCTTAAATAAAATTATTTGAAACATGAAAAGTCACATTGTACGTTACATGAATCCTGCAAACCATAATTTTATCTGCGAATTAATTAGCTGACCTAATTTTAGTGGAGCATACGTTGTGTATGTATTCTTTGATCTTTTCATTTTTTGCAAACAATTGATCGTAATCCTGAATGAGCTTCATATAAATCGTGGGCACTGCCGCAAATACATTTATACGCTCTGTATTTTGTAGATTGACAGCGGTAATCTGCGCCCAAACGCCTGCGGCCGAAAATTTCGGTAGCATGACACATCGTCCTCCGACGTACAGTGGGCAAAGTAGTACATTGATGATACCATGCACGTGATGCAGAGGTAGTGTGTGCAGGAATATGTCTTTCTCCGTGTGTTTCCATGCTGTGATTAGTGATTTCACCTGTGCCTGGATGTTTTTGTGGCTCAAAACCACACCTGAATCGATGAACAAAATTTACTTGACAATTATTAGTTATCAGCACATAAAAATATTATTCAACACATAAACAAATTTCAAATCACATGTAGTGGGAAAATTTTTGGTAGTCACTGTCAAAGTCACGGGATTGTTTTTTAAATTTAAATCAACATTAAACTTCATATCTCGATGAATTTTTACACAAATAATGACGTTTAGTGTTCTTTTAAAATTGGAAATGAACAGCAATACATTTTAAATTCTAAAATTTATATTTCGCCAATAATTAATAAAAATAATTAAAAAAACATAATTCAACTTATACACGTTAACACCTCAAGTATTGTGAAGATTGGTTTACTCATTTGCAAGTTGTATTTCACAATGTTTTAACGTGTTTACATGAATAATTAATAAGTGTAAGTCAAAATAAATTGATGATGTAAATATTTTTATTATTGGCATCAGAATTTTTAATGTATTTCTGTGGATTTTTACTTACAGAGACATCAACAAATTTTGAGGCAAATGTTATCACACAAAAAATTGCAAATAAGGTCCACAGAAAGGTCAGTCTACTTTTCATTTTTAATTAATTCATCTTATTCAACTGTTGGTAAAAGCAACTGTATTACCAATCACTGATTAATTTTTTTTTATGGGAGTTTTTAATTTTTATCGACAGGTAACATTTAATTAATACATTTTCACTTGAGATTTCAGTTCAAGACAAACATCTCACCTCCCGCTGCTTCTGTACTCAAGACAAATGTTAAGAGTAAGCCATCGAATCAATATGTAAACGTAAACCTCAAAAGATAACATTATTTGCTTTTATTAAATAAATTACTTTTCTTCAAGTAACTACTGACTAAATTAAATAAATATAGTATAATATAGCATAATAGTACTACTATTTGTCGATGTACCAGCATGCAACTGCCTAGCATAATTTTTTATTCTTCAAAATGATTTTGATTTTTTATTTTTAAGAAAAATCAAAACGTGGCCAGTACTCTAAAAATTGTAGTCCTTAAGAGGTAATAATTGTGAAAAGCTAACTTTAAAGTAACAAATCAATTTCATAAGTTTCAGATTGTTTGAGAATTACCTTTTGGTTTGTTTGTTGTGCCTGAAGTGTAAACAAACATTGCATCACTTTTGTTGTAAAAATCTCCAGAAACACCTGCATCAAACGCATTTCCAAGGTCACGCTCAATGAGTACCTTGTTATTGGCTTGCTTGCCATCCGGTTTCATTGCCAAAACTCTAAGAGCATTATCAAAAACTATTAGATGTCTTTTGCTTTTGGCTATGATTGGTTCGATGACTGGCAGGTACTCTTGATTGGTTACAATAACTTTTGCATCTGAATCTGTGATGTAGTATTCAAGAACAGGAGTTGGATGTTGATCATTCAAAGGCACAGCTGCACAAAAAAGATATATTTAATACATTTACAAACATGAATCAAATTCATTATCATCGGTGTAAAAACAACTGAAAGATAAACTGTAAATGTGGGCTTCATGTATGTGATAACTTGGAGAAACATTAACGTTATGATAAATATTTTTCAAGCGCTTACATTGTCGTTAAATTTGATTGTTATGATAGATAGAATGAACAAAAAAAACAATTCAAGTTTAACTTATTTGTTAAAGTCTTAGCGATTAATTGAGGTTTTATTTACCTATCTGACCACTTATCCAACAAGCCCACTGACAGATGACGTAGCTTGCATCATTCGGCAACAGAAATGCTACCCTCTCTTGACTTCCTTCTCCCAATAATCGATTCAAATCGTTGGCAAATTGTTTTGCACTAAGAAACAAATCTCCATAAGTGTAGTCTCCGTGCATGTCTCGTAATGCTGTTTTGTCAGTGTATTGTGAAGCATATTTGAAAACAGGTACCACATCATTGGAAAACTGAGCAAAAAATGTAATGTTTTTTATTAGTACTGTATGATATAGAGCCAACTCTATCAACGATAACTAATTTGAGACATCAGTAAAAATAGTAAAACAATACCTGAGAATTTTCTGTTGTGGAATTCAAAGCAGCATGAGTCTGCTGCATACGTTTGGCATTGATGGCTTTTTGGCGTCGGTTTAGCGTATTCATCAATGTGTGAAATTTTCTTCTGATCAAGGAACTCATTTTGCCTTTTGTTTTTCCTTCACAATTTGTTAACGTACGATCGATTATTCTTGAACTACAATACTAGACGTCTGCAACACAACAAATTAATAATAAATGCTGCGCTTCTCAGTTCTGATGCTCGTTCGCGTTCAGAAGACAGGCACACCCGAACAGCAGCATGACCACAGAAATAAAAACAAAAACAGCCCGCGCGAAGCAACGCCGCACTGCCGCAGATAAATATCTTAAAATAATTTATCAACTGCGCGGCGACGATGCAGACGAAAACGAAAGAGAAAGGATGACAATCTAACCTTAAACGTTATTACGGTGCATGTAGAGGGACGAGAGACGAGAGGGAGTGTGTTTGTGCCGTTGTGGTGGTGCAACATTAAAGAGAGAGACTCTAAAGATTCGAGTGACCTTGAAAAAATGCCGATTGTCAAAACAAACTAATGCGCGATCAACTTTCAAAGTTCTATATCTAATGACGGTAAACGGTTCAACAACGTTAAGTGATTACGTGAATTACGTCTTATGCACCTGCACTTGCACGATTAAAATTATCTACGAAATTTACACCGTTTGCAGTAAGTAAAAGAAGCAAAAGTCCGCGTGAAAAGGATTTCGAAAAGTCGTCAAGCCTCGGCAATGCAGATTTTGCGGTCCTCGCGGTTCGTGTGTGCACTGATAAGTAGCACAAATAATGTGTTATCGAGCATTGCAAATATTGCAAAAGAGTTTCGCTTCACGTGAACTTTGAACATAAGTAAGTGCGTTCGCCCCTACTCTTTGGCTAAGTACTAAGTATTTCTTTTTTTGGCTTCTCTGCGCTCTTTCCGCGTGACCGGCGTGACGCTACCGTGGGATATATATTATAATTTTTTTTCCGATATCAATGATTAGCTTTTACCTTTACGTCGTACCTTATTTTTAACGCTTTTTTTATTGTATTGCAAAGGAATGTCGTACGTAACATGAATTTTTAAGAACTTAACTAAAATTTTGAAAATTATATAAAGAATAAAATTTTGTTTTATTGGTCACCATTTTTTTCGGGTATCTTTTTTATTTACAGGATAAAACAATCATTAACCACATCAAACACATGAATTCAAAGTCAATATTTTAAAATAATATAATAATAACAATAAAAACAATAAATTTAATAAGCGCAATAATACCATTAATCGTTATATAAAATTAAAATTTGTTTCTTGTATTTTAATCAATGGAATACATAAAACTATTGAAAACCCTCTATCCTTGTCATTTAAAAATATTGTCGAATCAAAATATTGCGCTCATAACAAGATAATAATGATCGAGCTTCAACTATAATTGAACTGAGACTTTTCTTGCGCTCATTCGCGCAATCGATATAACTTGTATAAGTAAAACAAATTGTAAAAATAGCTCAAATATTTCAAAATCTTTGATTGGCAAGTATAAAAACACACGTGTCGATTTTACGCTTCAAATTATATATTACAAATTGATGCATTTGATGGAATTTAACTCGGAATATCCTTTCTTTGGATTAGAATTAAAAAATTCGGATTGCAAAGATTAATTACTATAATTTGGATGAAAAATACACTTTTTAACAAAAAAGCCAAAATACTCGATTTTCCAATTTTTTGAATACGAGCGCGAAAATAAGTTAAATTTTTACTCAAATACCTACAAACGGTAACGATTTAAAACCACATATAATTATAGCATTATTTAATTTTAGAAAACACTTTTTTTGGAAAAGCGCAAGAAAAGTAACCAAGTAAGTATGCTTATGTCAAAAAAAGGTTCAACGACAAATGATTTTAATTGTTCAACAACTCCATTGTAATAACACGCGGAAAAAGGATAGAGAAAACGTTGGGGTGAACTTATTGGGCATCATCAGCCGGCTGCAACAACAGCACGAAAAAAGACGGGCTGCTTGGGCGCAGCTTGCAAATTCCTGACCTGCAGGAGTTACGGCCTCGAAGACGATAGGATGTCGGACAACTCGGACGACGAGACGAACGGCGAGTATGTCTCAACTCACTGGCAACCGTATTCCGAGAGGCTCGAGTGGCGAGACGTCCGGCCGATCGAGCAAAATGACGGGCCCAACCCCATCGTCTCCATAGCTTATTCGCCCAAGTGTGAGTTTTGTTTGTACAATTGAATACTTAGTCGTTTTTTCATCGTCAAATTTAAGTACTGTTGTTCGAGGGATGATTATAGTCGAAATTGTATGGGGTGACACAAGCTTGTAACATAACCTATTGATATTAGGGGTGTGTGCGAGACAGACTTGTATTTTTTTGTTTACATCAGTGAATTTGTCTTGTTTCAGTCGTTGAGGTGCACAATTATTTTAGAGCTATCCTTGATTCCAAGGAAAAGTCGGAAAGAGCCTTGGATTTGACTGCGGAATGTATTATGTTGAACGCAGCGAATTACACAGTGTGGCAGTATAGAAGAGACATTCTAAAGGCACTTGGAGTGGATCTCAAAGATGAATTAAAGTTTATTGAATTAATGACTAATATTAATATGAAAAACTATCAAGTCTGGCATCACAGAAAAGTCATTGTCGAGTGGATGCAAGATCCAAGCTCAGAGCTCAAGTTTACGAGTACTGTTTTGCTAAAAGATGCCAAAAACTATCATGCCTGGCAGCACAGGCAGTGGGTCATGACAACATTCGAGTGAGTAGTGATTACTTATTGAATGACATGAAACTTAGTTCTTTACTTGTATGCGGTATTTTTTTTTCCTTAGTTTGTTTGAAAATGAACTGGAGTATGTTGATGAGTTGCTGACTAAAGATATCCGTAACAATTCTGCCTGGAATCAAAGGTACTTTGTTCTAAATAACACCACCCAATTTGAAGAAGAAGTTATTGATCGTGAAGTCGATTTTACAATCGAGAAAATTTTAGACGTACCTGACAACGAAAGTGCTTGGAATTATTTAAGAGGGTAAGAATGTCTTTGCTTAAACTACTGTTCATAAAAAAATTACCAAACACTATGTAATTTGTTTCAGAATCTTGGATCGTGATCAAAATGGAGGCTTACCTTACAACAACGAAGTACTGAAAATGTGTAAAGATATGTACAATGACGGTTATAGAATAAATCATTTACTGGCTTGCATTATTGATATTTGTGAAGAGAGGCATTCCAGTGACGAATCAAAAGAATCCCTATTTCATATTGATACAGCATTTAAAGTATTATTTGTTTTTTTGTTCGTTTTAACATTACTTATCCTTGATTATATAATAAAATTTTTTATTTTAGCTGTGTACAGATTTGGCCAAACAGTATGACAAAATCAGAAAAAATTATTGGGAGTTTAGGAGTCAGCAACTGTTGGAAAAGTTTAACTCAGTATAATTGTAAAATATTAACACAAGACTGCAGCAGATAAGATGTTCAGGGTATCCAAATGGTTGGCCCCTGATAAACTATACAATTCTCTGAACTTGGATGATAAAAAGTACGACTTAACGTAGCCTATGAATTGATAAACATTTATATTACTGTTACAATTTTTAATACAAGCAATCATAATCAAAGAGTGGTATGAATGATCTTATAAATAGATTTTATAGATTAAAAAGATGTATATATAATTGAAAGTATACTTGGTGCGTTTTAGACACGACTGCTCCTCAGGGATGGCTTATACTTTTACCAGGGCAAAAAGCTTAACCACAAATAAGTAATGTATTATTGGGAGAGGATAAGAAAGAAAAATTTTTTTATCAGGGGCTTAGGGTCAGTTTAAACCATTTGCCAATCATGTACCAACTTTTTATGCAATGATGAAATTAAAATTTTTGCTTTGGTGATAATGTATTAGTCGTGCCTTACATACGAAAGCACAGGTTTTTCGTTTTGTAAAGCAACTTGTTATAAATGTTGAATAGATAACTGGGATTTTAAAATATTCCAAGTATTAAAATTTACAATTTTATTAAAACTGAGGCCTACTCGACTTGCAATGATGAAATAAGACACCAATTTTGATAATGCAAAAGCATTATTCATTCAGCATAGCCGTTGCCACAAGATTTTATAAATCAATATTAACAAAACTCGTTTTAATTAATAAATGTGTAAAATAATGTATAAAAATAAATGTTTTTATGAAATGAAAGAAAAAAATTGATTTTTAAAAAATTAGTTTGTTTAGGGAAAATGATCCAGCCAAAAGAACATGAGTTATCTATTTATTTTACAAAATAGTTACATACTCCCTTTTGAATACATATTTAAATCATTCACTTGCTATAATTGTAATAAAAATAAAAATCGAATAGTGAATTAGACTTTGTGACGCAAAATATAATTATAGGTTTATATAATGTATTATCGACTCTTATTGAATGACTTTAATGACAATGCAAGGGCTTGTACGCAAATTTTGCATTTCATTTAACAAAGTATTTACTACTTATTAACTTTTTAAACTAAATTTTACTTTTTACGAACGCATAGCTACAAGCTGATATGGTAGTGTGTCTTAACTTTGTTTTTTATCGTATGTACCAAAGTTGCAAACTCAATTTTTTTATCTCAATTAAAGGATAAATTTAGAGTAAGATTTCATTTCTTTCTGTTCTCATCTCCATGTTTTTTTTTTTTTTTTTTTTTTTCTCTTTTTCGATGCATACAAAGCAATGGGCAGTGTTATGACTGCACTATGACTATTGTTTTCTCTTTTGATTTTTCAAAACCTAAAATTTTAAAAATTGTAAGTATCTTGGGAGTAAGTGTTTGAAACATACTTTTCATTCTTACTTATGGTTTTCGTTTTCTTAACACACATAGATCTGATTCTATTTTTCTTTAAAAGTTTTGACATTTAACAATACATATTCTGGCTATTTTCTGTATTATTCCAGTATCTCAACAATCTTCATTTTGCGGTTTCATTGAAGATTCTTTATTGACATGAAATCATTATTAACGCATTAATAAACTTCTGAGCAGTTACCCACATAGATGAAAATACAAATTTATTTCGTATTTTTTAATAATATTAACAAAATGTAATTTTTACACATTTATCAACACATAATAAAGATATTGACAGTAGACAAAATTTTTCAAAAATACTAATAGTAACAAAAATTATTTTCCTAGATTAGGAATGTTTTTTCGCATTCCCTTATCATTAGCCTTTTTACAATTTACTATTCTTTTACCATCGCTTTATATACCCCTAACATTTAACAATCAACATCCAAACAATTACTTTTGTTATTCATAGTATAACCTTTTTTCTACCTTCGTTTAAACAAATTTATTTCAATGAGTGAATGCCAAATAATTAATTAATTACGAACGATGCCATTTGTAGATATAATAATTCCTACAATAATAATGTTAATAAAAATAAAAATTTTATTTTTAATAATGCAGTAACCCGATGTGTGAATACACTGTCACTTTGGTCTTTGGTCGTTTTCGATATTTTTCTGTTTTTCATGAGTAAAATTTTCATTTAATGAACAATTTTCAAACATGTATAGTTATTACCATTGACATACAACATATACATATTACACCGAAAATATCGCCTCGTGGATGTACCTACACGATGCTCATTTACTTTTCGCTTGATTTCCCATTTTTTAATCATACCGCCCTCTGCAGTTTCTGTATTTAAAATTACTCTCATATAATCTTTAACGCTTCAATATTTATATATGCACTTTCATACAACACATCCCTGAATTGTTGAACTTTTGTTCGTCGTGACTTGCCTGAAAATTCATTACAAATATTCAATATTCAATGTCCCATAAACTTTTCTCAGTCCATCACATAGACATACAATGCAGGATCCCTATAAAGCTATTTACAACCTTAGTGTTTTATTTCAATGCCGTTTGTTACCCAAAAAATTGATAAAATCGAATGCATTCGGAAGAATAACAATTTATACGTATTAAAAATAATTATAAGGCCTGGATTGGATTTCTACAGCGAACAACTACGTACACTCATGTTATACACTAAACGTTTTTGCAATCTCTACATCTCACTGCCCGTGCTTGATCCAGTGCACAAACATCGTGCATATTCGGCTTGTTATACATAATTCTTTTTTTTTATTTATCTTTGTATTTATGAACTACGTGTATAGTTTATAATTGGACCATCGTCAGTCATTACAAAGCACGATCATATAATATTTGTGTTTTCGGATTTTCACCAGTGTATAATACTTATCGGGTTCCATTGTCCATTCTCATTTTTTTATGGGCTTATAAAATAAAGAGAATCGTTTTTATTATTTTGTATTTTTTTGTTTGTTTTATTTTTATAACAAGATTAACGACAATTTGAAAATAGTTATTTTTTGTTACGTTAAACCGATGTTGTAATAATATATTCGTATTTATCGTGATTTTAAAATATATTCTTGATTTGTCAATTTTACATTATCCTATTTATCCCTTGCGAATAATTTTACGTGAAAAAATCAACTATCGTACAGCAGCAATAATTTATTTTTAATTTTCTTTTTTTTTTCTTTCTTTTTATAGCGAATTAACAAGAATATTTCTCTATTATTTGATTTTGACTTCTATATAAAAATATTTGTAGCGATTGGGGGAAGAAACTTGGCCTTATTTATTAACTGTCAAAGATTGTAAGGTGAAAACTCGCGAAATTGAGCCGTCAAATACTTCGGAACGGGCGCTTCTCCGTTCCCTCGTATGTTTGTACGTTTATTTTCCTGCTTCACATCTACAACGCGCTGACAAGACTCGACGATTAACGATTTACACTCGAGTTGGTTATTATTTTTATTTGTTTTTTTTTTTCCTATCTAATAGAGAGAGGAAGTAGATTTTTTTTATAGAACAGCTTTGTAGTTCCTAACAGCTACGTCAAGTTGAATAGGTTTATAGATTTTTTTGTTTGTTTACTCTTTAAATTCTGTAGTTTTTTGTGTCAATTTTATGCTGGGCTTTTTTAAAAACAAATGATAATTTTTTCTGTAACTTATTAATTTTTTAAACTGCAAAGTTCATGAAGTGCTTATTTAAAAAAATTTTTTTATTTACTTATTTTTTTTAATTGTAATGCCTATTTGTTAAGGAAAATGAGATTTCATAAAACATCACATGCATTTTCTGTTGAATAATTGAATGGGTCGCCATCAAGTATATTCTTTTTGTTTTAAGCAGTTGGAAGAAAATCCACGCAGATTTCCTTGTAAACATATAGAGAGAGATATTATCTATATAGACACTCTGAATACTACTAAGTGATACGTTCGCTGTGGGCAAGAGAAAGAATTTTTGGATTTCTGTTTCATTTTCAGAAAGAGCAAGAAAGTTACAACACAACTTTCGCCACAGTCGCCCAGTTATCGAATATATTATTTTATGAGATGATAATTGGGTATCCGTTACCGTTCCACTATCGATCGTGGAGTCATCGTTCAATCGGCTAATTTGAAAATCTTTTTTTTTTATTTAATTTTTATTTTCCTAATTCTCGTTAAACTAATCCAGAGTTTCGCGTTTTAGCTCGATTTGAGAACTTTTGTTCTCTGTTGCAATTACGATTAACGTCAAAGACATGCGGTAGTGATAGAGTTGACTCGAGACGGGCATTCGATGCTCATCTCAGTTACAATTTTTATGTATAACAATAAATATTTTATTTTTTTTTATAACTAAACGCGCTAAAAGTAACACAGGCGTCCCGTGTAGAAGACTAAGATTTTTCAACTGGAGCACGAAAATTCGAATCGTCCGCAATGTGTCAATAAACATTTTAAATAACTTAATTCGTACTCCAATTTTTACACATCGTATAAAATTTATAATTTCAACTTTTCTTAAAATATTTGCAATTATAAATAAGGTCTTACTTAATGATAGGTTTTACTTTATATAACTTTATTTTTCAATACGCGCGAAATCAGGCAGTGGTACAATAATAATAATAAAATTTTTTAAACATTGGTACACAAAGTCCTTTAATTGTTAAATTGTAAGGAAAATAAATTTTGCAAAAAAAAAAGTCAGAAACAACTAGTATTCTACGTTCCCAACACCGTCATTTCTTACTAATCAAAAATTCTACTGTGAAACTATCTCATAAAAATAAGCGCCATCGCCCCTTATAAATATGTATATTATCAATATTTATGTATGTAATATATTTATAATTTTACGTGGCTTATCGTATTAAATCTATAAATATAACAAACGATACATCTTCGCAGGCTTTCCAAACCACAAATGAAAAAAAAAAAAAAAAAAAAAAAAAATTTTTCGTTTCTGTATGATTTTTTTTTTTTTTTAATTAACCCTGAACGCGATAATCTATTAACACGCTTTTTTTATTACTCTCTTCTGCAACTTTAGCGTACAAATATAAATATACGTTTTCCACCACCGTTTTCCTCAACATATTTTTTGTTATATAGGGTCCACCAACGATCTAGAATACGGTACAGCGTCATACTATTTTTAAGTATATATTCTGATGGTCGTTGTAGTTTTATTGTTAATTATTCAATCGAACGAATCGGCACAACACAATGGAGAGCGAAACAGACCGTCGCCTTGGTCTGTGGGTTATACACCCACACGACGGAATTTACATTATACACTTATACGTAAAATATTACTGCAATGATAATCGGAATAATAATAACAAAATTGCGTAAATTCACTGCGCTCTCGAGTGCCACTGTAATATTTGATTCACCGTTTTCTCGTTAGAAATAAACGCGCGTGTGGAGTTAAATTCACGAACTGAAAATTATTTGTAAAAAAAAAACAAAAACCTTTTTTCCGTCGTTTAACGAGGACAACGTTGATTAAAATATTTTAATGGGGGAGTTGTTCGCAAAGGGAAGCCATTGGGTTTGCTACGTGAAAAAAAAACGGGAGGACTATACAGCCTTTGGTTACGTAATTAAAATTTTTCTTGAAAAAAAGCACATGGTTCTAAAAAAAAAATTCGAGCTGGCGCCGGCAAAGCTTCCCCTCTTTGAGTAAACTTTTGGATTTCCTTCTGTTTGCACTTACTTGTAAGTCTTAAAAAAAGATCGAATAAAAAAATACTACGCACTTACGATACACACGTATACAATAATACAACTACCCGATAAAAAATGTATACGGCGCGAAATATGCACAACAAAACCCTCCACTCGCTGCACCAATACAATATCCTATTATACTTTGTACCTTATACTATTATCATCGTCGTCATAATTATATATTTTCACACGGGTTTTTTTTTTTAATTTTTTTACTTTTTAAAAATTTTTTTGAACAACAACCTCTTTTCATCCCCAACCGAAGCAGATTAACAATCAAAGCTCTGAGCTAAGGTCAACACTTGGACTATTTGGCACCGTTAAACTCCATCAACTTCGCAAAGACACCCCTCTGTGATCGAAGACTCCCTGTACAAACACGCCATCTCTCGATTCCCATTGTTGAATTTTTCCCCCTTTCCCGGAGCGAACCTCGTCGAATCGCTCTTCCGATAACGATTTTGTGCACAATTGTACCACCGACCGGCTCGCAGCTGTATATGTGTTAAGAGCGAAAAGCTTATCAACGTTGGCGTCCTTATTTAACATCATTCCGATCCATCTCGGGTTGAAAGGAAATTTTCCAAATTGAAACTAAAAGCGTTGACGAAAAATACGTATGTACACAAAATTTCTCCCGCAACACCCTCCTCCCCTCCCCGCGCCCGTTTCCAGGACGAGCCGGCGACTTTCGATCGCCGCGCCACACGTGTGGTACGTACACACCCACGTTCCAGAGTACCCCGATGAGCACCACCGGTGGGTAAATTCGGTGTCGGGGCCGGAGGACAAAAATGATCTCCAGAGGCCGGGCGAGGGGTCCCCCCTTTTCCCATGTGGCAGTCAGTTCAGGTCCAGGTCGAGCAGAGACGGCGGAGCGCTGCGTGTCAGAAGACCGTCTCCAGGGCGGTGATGTTGCTCGTTATGTCCGGGTCGGAGGTGCACGCCTCGAGGAACTCGGCTAGGGTCACCACGCCGTCCTTGTTCCCGTCCATTTTCTGTGGAAAACAACAATAACCCAAATGCACTACGTGTAATTTTTTTTTTTTTTTTTTGCTCTCTTTCTACTTTTAATGGGAATGCGGAATGTAGGTCGCACTTTGGATCGATCTTAACTTCGGGTCCGAACCGCTCGTCGATGGAAATTAAATTGGAAAAACCATTCGGGATGATCCCCGTTGGACGAGCCTTTTTCGAGCAAACGAGGTTGTACTACGTAACTTTTTTTTTTTTTTTTTTTTTTTTTTGGACGTATCGATCGATTTCATCAAACTTGCGTGGTATTAAATTCCCTCTCCCCTTTGCAATTAGTCAGTTTACCCCCGTCCCATTCAAGTCACTTTCTGTAATTAAAAAAAAATCGATGGCTTACATAGGATTACAAATTTTCAAGTGCAATCTTCCTTTTGTCCCATTCATTTACAACCCGCGGAAGCGAAGCCGGTATTGGAGCAACACACAGTCGATATGAACCCAAAGTGGTATAGCTCGCGCTTGATTAGTAGAGAATCCGCCGTGCAGAGCGCGAAACAATGGCGTACCCCCGTATATGCCCAATACGTCCGAAGGAATATCGAATTGTTGAAGGGATAATTTGCATTAATGCACCTGGCCTCGCCGATTGGATTTCTCACTGTTGTGTAGGGTATTGTTTCCATTTAGAAAAATTACCCTTTGTCCAGCCCGACAGCTCAAAGAGATCGGCTCATAACCGTTAAGGCAGCTTTCAGTAGAAAAATCAGCGTCACGTCGGACCACCACATACTAATTTGCCTTTAAAATCTCAAAAATCCTCCATCTCCGTTGCAAGTGCAGTCCAAATGGCTTGACTCAATAATCGCCGGCGGCGTTGCACGAAAATCATCGCTACGTGTGTACACATCCGATCGTGCGCTCAGCGCGTGTAATTTCCGATAATCGGGGGCAGTCCATATCGTACGGCTATATATACAGGTGTACACGTCCCGCGAGACAACGACCATAATAAACCCACTGCTATGTATGTACATTCGCGATCGCGGGCACGTAAAGCAAAGCGAACTAAACCAATAGCAGTCGTTGCGCACGTCCCTCTTGGTCTACGTATGCGCGAGAGATTCGTGTAGTTTCTGCAGAGAGAGAGAGTTCGAGTCTCGAGACAATTCGATTGTATTCGCGCGCGAGGGCCGTGTAACGCGTTTATATTGTCACGCACTCGGAGTGGGTCAGTAGTCTGTGAATTCCGGAAAACAATGCTGGTGCACAATTACGATGCTCGCTCGTCTGGATCTAATGGCTTTGCTTTGGCACGTGTTTCATATATATACCCGCACTAGATTTCCCGTTCGAGCGAATTGATTCGGGGCAGTAAGTATTTTTTGTTTGGGTGGCTATATATTATATTGATTTCGCCGATACGTCATTTCGTAGGTTTCATCCGGATCGTTGTGGAGCTTAGAAGGGGGGGGGGGATTTTAATGAATTCGACGAGTTGCCGCTCGATTGAATGAAAAAGTCGGCTGATTGACTTCCTGCGCGGCGATGGGGGTCCCGAGGTATCACTCGCCCGAGGGTTGAGCTCCTCTGAATCGCGAGTCGCGGATTCGATTGTTGGTTTCAGCTTAGTTTTTCGATGAGTGGACTATTAAAAAAATTTAGTTCACGCAACTTTGGGATTTTAGGTGAAATGTGAGCCTTTTTTTTGGTGCAAACTTTTTTTATCCGTAGGTTCGAGCGATCAGTTTTTAATCCACCTTAACAAGTTAGCAAAAAATGGTTTTTCCGACGGAAATGCTTGTTATGGGTGACAGTGCAATGTGGTGGTGAACTTATTTTATTTTATAGATTTCAAGGACAGTCGCTCCAATTGCCGACGGCTCGTCTTACTTTACTCGTCTGTTTCTACTTAATTTTTCAGACGGCGATATTTCGCCAATCAGATCGTACAGGCCATTTGTTGCCACTGTATTTTTTATACTCAGTGTAAAAAGATATAATGGACGTAACTGTATATAAAAACGATTAAAGTATGTTTATGAACATACTAAAGTATAGGAAATAATTTGATGATGATTATTAAAAGAAAGGATCATCGATACGATATTATAGCTACGTTACGTGCATACGTTAAAAAGAAAATTTTTTTACTTTACTCTTAGTTATTATTTTTTTAAATTAAAAATGAAATTAACTTTTAAAATCAGTCTTCCGTTATGTTTTATTCGACACTTTGGGCATCAATACTTCGGACCAATGTATCCATTACCCAAGAATTTTTCTGACCTCATTAGTAGAGCTGTTCCTCAACTTATAATTTTCATCATCTCACCCCTACAGTGATTCCACCACAATCCACGATCGAACATCGCATAACATATGTATTTTCTTCGCTCCAAGTTCAAATGACCTGCCCAAACACCTACGTACGTATATAGTAGCAAAACTTTCACAATCGCCGCCTAATAGACTCCAAAACTCCCTCCTTCTTATCCGCGATAAAACCCGAGCGATGCACCGATAATAGACTTCCCCTGCGCTCCGAATAGTTTGTCGCTGCTCGGGGGGAGATGTGCGTGTTCGACACATTACCCTCGAGCCGTTCCTTGTATATAACAGTTTGGAAGATGAATGTGCAGCCCTCCCCGCTGCTCAGCTTTGTGTGCATGCCTTCGCGGTAACATCTGTGACTAATCGCGCGGTGCTTTACGCCTCGGGACGTGCGGCGCGAGATTTCGATGTAAATTAATGGCACGCCAAGTTCGCGTATCTGTGTATTCGTACGAAGATGCCGGTATCCTAGAAAATGAAGATTTGGGGGGGAAACAAACGAGCTTCCTTTTTTTCCGGATTAAAAAGTTTGGGATTTAACTGAGCACGACTTCACGTGTAATTTCCAACATAATTAGGCCGTACAATGCGTCTAACGAGGTACTGTACGTACACACGCGAAACTGGAAATTTCAAAGTTCGAACATAATTTCACCTCTGGGGGGCTCGATCGTACTACTTTTTATTCGGTATTCGCGATCGAGTGCGCGAGGATGATCCGCTGAAGTTGTCAAACTACCCGAAAATTATCGATGCACACTTGTTTGTCAAAGTTATCTTTTTTTTTTTTTTTTTTTTTTTTTTTAATGCTCGTTCGGATTTGAGAGTACTGTAAAAATTATCTTCGGATCAAATCAGTTGCGCTCAGAAATACAACACGTAGCGAGATCACACACCAAGTGGCTCGAAAAGCACCCCTGGAATCGAGGGCCGACCAACCCCTTGGTATTATCACATTCACACCCATTTTACACCAGATAGGCACTTGGATGCACGATCTCGGTTTGTTATGCCGAAGCTCGCGGCACTACAATATCAAAGCCCCTCCCAACCCTGAATTATGCAACAAGAGATGCCGGTCGATAGCTCGTGAAGCGCGGGGTGTAGTGGTAGGGGCTCCCCCTTTTTCTCGCTTTATTTTTCCCCTCGTCAGCGCATATTATCCAAAGATCCGAAAGAGTTGCGCCCGTGTATGATCTCTCCGGGGGGTAGGTACGCGGAGTAACTTTGCGCGTGGAAACTTTGAAAAGTTCCGGGAGAACGGACACCTCGCGAAATCTGCATCCCGCGATGCGAGGGCAAACTTTGTTGTTACACTCCTCGGGAGGCGCTCAAGGAGGTTGGCCCTGTATATACATACGGAAGCATCGAGTTTCCCCCTCGGCTCGTTTAGCTGCTGGCCTTTGACGCACAAGGTGCACTTGCTTTGGCGGTAAACACGCGAGAGCACGGCGATTACACGCATACCTGCGACCGTACATATATACATAGACACAGCAATTGCGATTCCGATTGAGGAACGCGTTTGTGGCTCGTTGAATATTTCAGAGCTACCGCGACGCGTCACATCTCCGTTACGGGGCTCTTTTGGGTCAAGTCTCTCTCGATGAGGTCGGTCCGGTCATCTACGCGTGACACGTGTATATTATATACACACGCTCTTTGTGGCTTATGATTCATCGATAGGCACCCTCTTGGTATAGAAATGGTACCGATGGGCGGATACGATGATCCGCATCGTTGAGCGCTGATCGTGCAATTATGGGGAAGAAAAAAAGGGAGAGAGGACGATTTGGTAGTCGGTCGCGAGATCTGTGTGTGAATGTATATATAGGGACGTCGTAGACGCCGACACGCGCCCTTCCGATTAGTTCCGCTCGGCTTGAGACGCTTAAGCGAATTTTCCCTCTCAAAGTCCGCTGGCCGACCTTTTTCTCGATTCGCTACCTTTGTTCTTTCTTCCAGGCGAGTTGGCACGCGTAGCGATTGGAAATTCGGATGATTCGAGATTACTCGGAGTATACGCGTTAGCGCGGCCCCCGAGATGTGAAACGACGTGACGATGGTGAGGGGTACTTGGATTCGCGAGAGTAAGTATACAATCGAAGTTGGCTTACGGTAAAAAAAAAAAAAAAAAAAAAACGCGGCTCGCAGTCTCTCGTTGTGCACTTGGGAGCTTCCCGCGGGTCCATTAATGCAGTTCCTGTACCGCCAGCGTCAAGGGACTTTCTTTATACTCGATTAAGGAGTTTTCGGAGCCGGGCGTACAGGTTTGGAACTTGTGAACGGATCTAAGGGCTAAATTGGACGAGGGGTATGAGTGTTTATTTTTTGGGGAAAAGCTGTACATGTAAATACGACACGTCTCCTAGTAAATTTTGAGTAAGCCCCGTGATTCTCGAGTGAAAAATCAACCAGAAAAATGGCATTACGTATGATGATTTTGCGAATTTCCCACTCAAAAACTGTAAATTGTGGAAAAAAAAAAAAAAGAAAAAAAGATTGCACTTGATCGAAAAAACAGCTTTGATTTGCACTTCCATCGAGCTGAAATTGTAACCAATGACGAGCCGAGCACCAGGAAAAGGGGAAATCCTGTGCTCGAGAACAAATCATTCGTCCCTCATCCCTTTTATTTCTCTATGCCTTGTCAAATGAGAATTACGTAACACACGAGCAAACACGAGCATTCGCGCTTCAAAGCCGTGGGACCGAGGGAGAAGGTGGGGGCACTTGCTTTGCGCGTGTTCTACTTTTCTCGCGCGTTTATTGCCGAATAAGCGAACTGTCAATTGCCGGGGCGTGAGAGAGCAGCAGACGAGGGAGACATAGGCTTTTGCTATACATAGGATGTCACGAGCGCGCTTCTTGTGTTCGCATTTTATCGTGAATCCGATTTTCCGATTCAGACGAAAAAACCGTGTGTATGATGGTGAAAAACGTATCTCTTTGTGTTTTTTGTGTCTTGTTATAGTTTTCTGCGCGTGACGCATCGTTACCGTTTGATTCGCACCTACGCGTGACAATGAAGTGACTTTTGAGCTTGGCAATTTCATGAGCATTTATTATTACATATTAAAAATTCGCTCTACTGTTTTTCTAGTCCTTCAATCAAGTGTTTTTTTTTCATAACGATGAATAACGATGACGTAAAACCATTTTTAATTTTTGCTCCTGAATCTATATCCCATATAACCGTTATCGATTGAGTCTACTAAATTTTTTGTCATACTTAGGTCCCCATAAACCTTTTTTTTTCAAATATTAAAATTATTGTCAAACTCGAAAGATATGTGGAATATACCGTAATATATAGACACAAATGTAAAGTCACGAGTAATGTCCAATTAGACGACAATTTGCAGTGCTTTTAAAGACACTCGAAGTTGTTATTCCGTCGCGCTGGCCGGTTAAAAGCGTTTTTTCTCGAGGCCTCTAGAAAGAGAGCCCAGTAATTCAGTCTCCTGACGAAAAAAGAACACCACAGACGTGATGAAAGAAAGCTGTGTGGTCTTTCAGAGTATATATCCTCGCTGTTTTTTTTTTTTTTTTTTTTTTTTTTTTTTTTTTTTTTTTTATTTTTTTAAATTAAAAATGAAATTAACTTTTAAAATCAGTCTTCCGTTATGTTTTATTCGACACTTTGGGCATCAATACTTCGGACCAATGTATCCATTACCCAAGAATTTTTCTGACCTCATTAGTAGAGCTGTTCCTCAACTTATAATTTTCATCATCTCACCCCTACAGTGATTCCACCACAATCCACGATCGAACATCGCATAACATATGTATTTTCTTCGCTCCAAGTTCAAATGACCTGCCCAAACACCTACGTACGTATATAGTAGCAAAACTTTCACAATCGCCGCCTAATAGACTCCAAAACTCCCTCCTTCTTATCCGCGATAAAACCCGAGCGATGCACCGATAATAGACTTCCCCTGCGCTCCGAATAGTTTGTCGCTGCTCGGGGGGAGATGTGCGTGTTCGACACATTACCCTCGAGCCGTTCCTTGTATATAACAGTTTGGAAGATGAATGTGCAGCCCTCCCCGCTGCTCAGCTTTGTGTGCATGCCTTCGCGGTAACATCTGTGACTAATCGCGCGGTGCTTTACGCCTCGGGACGTGCGGCGCGAGATTTCGATGTAAATTAATGGCACGCCAAGTTCGCGTATCTGTGTATTCGTACGAAGATGCCGGTATCCTAGAAAATGAAGATTTGGGGGGGAAACAAACGAGCTTCCTTTTTTTCCGGATTAAAAAGTTTGGGATTTAACTGAGCACGACTTCACGTGTAATTTCCAACATAATTAGGCCGTACAATGCGTCTAACGAGGTACTGTACGTACACACGCGAAACTGGAAATTTCAAAGTTCGAACATAATTTCACCTCTGGGGGGCTCGATCGTACTACTTTTTATTCGGTATTCGCGATCGAGTGCGCGAGGATGATCCGCTGAAGTTGTCAAACTACCCGAAAATTATCGATGCACACTTGTTTGTCAAAGTTATCTTTTTTTTTTTTTTTTTTTTTTTTCAAGACTTGTTCATCATTTATAAATACAGTTTTTAGTCTGTNCATTTTTTTTTTCATTTTTAATTTGTAGTATTAGACAGGGTAATCTGTTTATATGTTTATATAGGCTTTGTTATGTTCTATCAATTTTTTTTTTCTTTTTTTTTTTTTTTTTTTTTTTTTTTTTTTTTTTTTTTTTTTTTTTTTTTAGCGAGACGCGTATACAAGAGAGCCAAAAAAAAGCTTTGGCAGAAGCTCCAGAGAGACAGAGAGGATCCACCGAGGCGTGAATCGAGCGGCACCTGAAAAAAAAAGCTTGTCGAGCATATACACCCGTCCTGTTAATTGCCTGCTTTTTTTTTCGGCATTGACTCTCGAAACGTCGTCTTTTTTTGCTAGGATTATTCCGTCCGGGGGAAAAAGTAAACTCAATTTCCCAACATCCCTCGATCAGATGAAAAAGTCAAAGAGACGCGTATAATATATACGTACCTGGAACATCCTGTCGACCTTCTGCCTGATGCCTTCGTGGTTGCGGTGCAGATTCGGATCGGCGAATTTGCCCATGAGCTCGTAAACGGCCGTCACGATGTCGGTCATCTCTTCGCGCGTTATGAGCCCGTCCCCGTTGATGTCGTACAGCGAGAAGGTCCAGCGCAGCTTCTCGTCCATCGAGCCCCGCGACAGTATGCTCAGACCCACCACAAAGTCCTGCAATCAGACGAAAAGCACTTAACAACGGCTCTTATATTCTTATCGCGTAACGTGTCCTGTTTCATGTACCCTCCGTTTACCTAGCGTGTTAGGGAGTATACATTTTCTTAAGTGGTTTATACTTTACAGTAAAACTGTGGAGTAAAAAAGACTTTTAAGGAGAAAGAGTCAAGATTTGGTCAGCCGTGGAAGGGAAACGCGAATCAACGGGTTTCTTTTTATCTTTTCCCCGCAGGGAAATACACCACCACGACGGGCGCGTGTCATCCCACAGTTTTACCTAATTTTGAAGCGTGAAAAGAAGAGAAGGAGAGCAACAACCCACGGGTTTCACACTTGGCGGTGCCGCGGTGTTATGAGCCTCCGAGGAATTAGTCGCGTGTCGGCGGTCCATAATTGAGCTAGCGGGAACGAAGCTTCGCCACCCCGCGCGTATACGCATTGTATGTATTATGTAGTGGCTGTGCATAATTTGTGTCATAATTATGCTAATGAACGCTGGCACCTCGTAAATAGAGACAATGTGTATATAATATCGTAAACGATGATTTTTTCGCCGCTTTTAGCCCGCAAGGAACGAGAGGAGTGCAAAATGCAGATCGATCGAGTCGATGAAAATTTAAGCGGTGCACTGCGGGACGCTCTCTCTCCGGTTTATCCGTGGAAGGCGTAATTAATCGCGCGTTGATTGCGAAGCTAATCTCGCGAACTATGGCGCTCGGGCCTCGGGGGTGATAAAGTTCGATGCGCCGGCAGCCAGTGGTGGCCTCTCATCCCGAGACTCGATTCCAGTCCGAGCACCTGCCGCGTGGGAGTTTAACTCGCTCGCGTGCGTCACTGTAACAGCAGGCTTATATACTTCGCTCGTACAACATACGTACAGTCGACAATCTGTGCGAGGTTGCGGCGATTGCGCTTGAATTTTGATGAATCGCGTTACACACGTGCTGATGATGTGGAATAGTCGATCCGCGGGGATTAGGGGTTTTTCGGGGCTTCTGTTATTATTAACGGGTCGTGATGCTCGATTGGTCCATTTGCTTGTCTATTAAATCCTTTTTTTATTTATATTTGGTATTCTTATTGAGTGCAAGATTTTACAATTGTAAATATGCGGAAATGCTGAATTAAGACTGAAACTTGAAAATTATTTTAATTTAATTTTTTTATTTTTTTTTACAATAGTATACTGTCCTTACTTTCCAAATTATGTTTGGAATACATGTTTGTACTTTAGTACAAACATAGTTTCTGGTTTCTATGTTAATGTATTTTTTCATACTTTGCATCTATTTTAGTTGATGTTTTTTAACTTTTTCTTTAACATTTTTCAATAGTTTTTTTATTTTCTTCTATTCGGGGTGAACTATTATACAGCCGTATCCTTTACTCACGCTTTTTTGTAACATTTGTGCCTTTATGGTTATGTGTTACTGTTTCCCAATTTTATCCATATATGTATATTTTTTATTACCTATAAGGCAAATGCCAAACAACATTGATAAAGAATTTCAAGAAAAAATATTGGCCCTTAACTGGTTGTGCAGCACAGCATTTTATTTTTGAAAATAGCTCAGAAAAAAATTCGGAAAAGCAGAAAAATTTACGAAACATAAGTATTGTCTTTGTGATTGGTGTGATTATTACTGAGACTCTAGGAAAAAAAAAAATTCTAATATAATACTTGTGATACTTGTAACGCTGACATTAGAGTTTATTTGAGTTAATGTTCTGACAGCGGTACTGTTCTTTACCAGCAGGTGATTAGAGGTGCATCGATATAGTCAACTTCGATTTATAGGCTTCATCTCTGAGTATCTATACCAACTAAACCACGAAAGACAACCTCTTCTTGATATATTGTACTCAGATATAAGGACGATAAAAAAGTGATACAAAAAAAATCTCCAATTTCAATTCAACAAACATCTTTTTGAAAACTAATTTTTTTTTTTTTTATCTCATCGGCAATCAGTGGTATGTTTAAGTGTGTATATCATCATATGTTTTTAAATAATAGGTCATTTTCATCAAATTTGGACTAATCCAGTAGTTTTGGTCACTCGTTCACATCACAATCAGACATTCGAGTAAAATATACAGCAGTGAGATGCACATGAAACATAAAAAAATTATAATTCAAATCAATGGACCAAATATATGTTTGAGGTATACGCAAATAACATAAATGAACGATAATGAGGCCCAAACAATTTGCGTTCATAGACACACCAGTAACAACATGTGTGATACACAAACAAAAGTTAATGTAGCAATTTCTGGTGCTGCATCCAATTTGACAGATGCATCACCTATTTCGCAGACATTCGGCTAATGAGCTGAGCCCAACGGTGGTGAAACCAAACGGCGCTAGCGACCAACAACTGTGCAACGTTAGCCCGACAACACAAATTTCGATACGCTACACGAAACCTCGCACGTGCGCTTTCGTACTTTGCTAACAAGCTAAAAAAACTTTTTCCCTAACTCGATTTCACTCGATTCGACGACGACTACACAGACAACTTTTTCCGCTGCACACACGCACGCGCCTGCCGCGTGCAAATGATGTACGAGTGACGCCTGTCGCGAAACACTTCTCTGTGCATTGGCATTTTCCTGCACCCGTTTCGTCCTACAGGACCCAACATTGTCTTCCGATATTCCTTTTTGCATAGATCACACAAAATAAAACTCAAAGGCAATGTGCACTTTGGCTCAACTTGGGCGTGTTGTGCGGACTTCCCGTTAACATAAGGGGGGGGGGCTAAGCGTCGGACAAAAGCTCGCGTACAAGAGCCTCGCAGGAACTCCCGCACGCACCCCGGCTATGGGAGTAAAGACGGGGTCGGGATGTCCGGTGGGGGTACTTTCGGCGCTGGCCCAAGTTTCGGGAAACTCCACAGGTAAATATATACACACACACACACACAGCCAAGCGTTGGAAGCGCTTTTCGGTATTTCTCGGCGAAATCAAATTAACCAAGGGTTATTCTTGTCTCCTCCCATTAAGCGGATCGTCGTGCGGGTTTTAAAACGGGAGTAGCGCGGTGCATGACGTATCGATCAACCGGCCGGTGGAAAGTCGTTTGCGGAGCACAGAGACGCAAGAAAAAGAGTAAGTACGTATATAAGGTTCGAGAAAACGTATTGCGTGTTCGTGGGTGTAACGCTTTACCTCGTTGCTCGGAGGAAAAAAAATTTAATTATTCGGTCCGCTGCGTCGAGCTATTTGGGTTGTATTGTTATATGAGCGCGCGGTAATGTAACGTACGGTACCAGACAACCGGCCAGTCCAGCGATGGGCGAAAGTTAATCGGCTCAACCGTCATCATCGACCGACCCCGTTTTGTAGTAAAAAAAAATAAAAAAATAAAAAAAATAACAATGCTCCCATTTTCGTAAACGTTAAAACAAACGTACAGGGTAGTTTCAATTATTGACTCCAGTCGCAAGAAAGATCGTCATCGACAGCTACAGGGTATAAAACACATGGAAGGGGCGAAAGACGGAGGAGCCCGCGGTGCAGTGGACTTTGATGCAGCCTCGAGGGACTTGTACATCCCCTCGCGCGCGCGACCCTCCCATCGTTCCATATTATTGCATCCCCCTTTCCCGAGGCGTATGCAATATCCGACTGGCGTTGTTCTTGTATATGTGTACATATATTTTTCTTCTCTTCGGTATGGCTGCAAATCAGTGCTTGTCCCACTTTTGGCGCGGGGGAATTAAATATCCCGAAGCGTCAACCGAAAAGCCCCCACCCGAGTAGCTGCGAAATTTTTCATTAGAGGGTTGGAATGGGGTGGCGGTGTATAAGAGAAACCGGAAGAAGCCAGGCGCTTCCGCGTACACGTGAAAGCAGAGCGGTTTCTTCCCTTTGACACGTATGCCTCCGAGCGTGTATTATGCGAGGGACGAAAAGATGACGATATGCAGTATAGTCGCGGCAGGGAGTAATTGACCTCGTGACCCTTGGCTGTACACACGGGCGCTATCTATATCTATTTTTTTTTCTGAAATGACGTCCCTGCAGTGTGTAATTTCCAGTGCCTCGAATGCTCCCTTTTTTCCATCCTTCCTCCGTATCTGCCTTTGAGCGTTAATCTTGCCGGACCGTATTAGTTTTCGGGGCTCGGCGCAAAAAAAAAAAAAAAAAAAAAAGGGGAGGAATTATCTTTCAGCCGCTGCTCTTGGAGTTAATTACGTTTGTAATTAAACGGATCCTATATACGGTGAGGACGGGGGGTTTTTTCGGAAGAGGCACGATTTATACGTACATCTGCGTGGCCTTCTCATCCGGATGTATACGAGGTAATATCGAGTCCGGACGGTTTTTCACCTCTTGCAGGTTAAAAAAAGGAACCGCGGGAGAAGGGGGCGTACGTGCGCGCAATACGAGTGACCCATTGTACCGGGTATCACCGTCACCCTCATTTTCACACTGCCAGAGGACCATCAGCCGGGACCTATACACCGATTTGCATTCGTAGCAGCAATCGAATGGAGCCTTTCCGACTTCGTGTATACACGTACGAGGTATGAATACAGGAGAGTAGTAATTTCATTTGCACGCCGACGAGTGCCTGCATGAGCGCACCTATATATATGTATATACCCGTGTATTGTACGCGAGTCGCGTTCGTGCATACAACGCGTGTGGGATTTGGGCTGCGACGAGTGTCGAGTCACGCTCTTCGGAGATGAGCCCCTGCTCGGCTATTCGCGGGGATGGACTTTTCACGACCCTATACACCGGTGTGTTGTGGAAGGATGTTTTCTTTTTCTTTCTCATTGTAGGGAGGACACGGTCGAGCTCCTTATTATTATTATTATTTTTTTTTTTCTTGGGCACTGGTGTACACCAAGAGTGTCCCGCAGGTGGACAAATAGCGCGTGTGTATCCTACACCAGCCTGTGAGCGCGAAACTACCTAAATATTGGACGAGCTCTCCAATCCCACGGTGCAGCGTATAATCCTTGGATGTATATACACCCACACGCGTCCAATCAAATCAATTGCTCGGAATACCCTTGTACGTACGCTCCATCGAGTGGCGAATCGGCAATTTGCCTTTCGAGTCGTGCCGTGAATCTCCGGCAATTAGCGCCCTCCCTTCCGCGTGGGTGCAAAAGTTTTCTCGACATTGCGGTACACCAACGAACACCAGCGCGAGCTGGCTCTTTAGATCGCTGCGCTCGATATTGCTGCCAAGGATCAACCTGGACACACGAGATTTCGTTCTTAGCTGTTATTGGGTCATGCGCGGTTGGCTCCGTCGCAATAATAGGGTAGCGCGCGCGTGCTTTGGCGATGTATGGGTATCCCTTGGTTAGAAGTGGAGATGAATTATGTAATAAGTATAGGTTACGGCACACGTGAAGGATGAGGTATTTTTTTCGCCCAACCTATGTAGGTGACTATGGCGCTCCTCGACTTGGATTATTTTTTGTAGGGTCCATGTATGGTTTATCGTTCACGCATCGGCAATGGGACCTTGGAACTTGGTATTCACGTTGGCGATGGTGACATCACTGCAGCACGAAATACTTTTTCTTTTATTTTCGTCGACGGTCGTGGCATTCGTGTGATGGTATATTAATGGTGCAAAAAGCAGAGAGTTGGATGACATTCTTTGGTCCCGAAATATCTACCCCGAGATAACAGAACAGTTTCACGATACTGCTTTTTTAAATTTATTTTATTGTTTTTTATTTTTTTTTATCTACGTTGAAAAATTATTCCTCCTACATTCGTTCGATAAAAACAACATGTACAGTTCTTTACGAGAGTCGGTAACTTTTAACTTTTGAGAGTAACAAAAATACCCTGGAGTATGCCCTGACCCAAATAATATAAAAAAAAGGGTTATCGTACACAGAAGAATCAACGAGATTTACGAGTCAATCCTACCCAATTTTCCCCTGAGCTGTTGGCTGAGATATTAGTGTGAATTAAATAATTTGTTGCTTCCCTTTCTCCGAGCGTTTCGCCAAGTACTTAAACGTCCGTGCAAAAATGCGGGATCGGAGAAAAGGAAGCCATGGCTCTTAGACGACAACGAGCTAATGTCGTTTTTTTTAAGCTGCTCCTCCCGTTTGCCGTTTTCTCCTCTTCGGAGCTAATGCGATTACGGAGCCGACGCCCAGCTATTAAGAAAGAAGCCGAGGAGTTTAAGGGACCTCGCAGAGTGAGCAGCACCAGCACAGACTCAGCTTTGCTGATCGGGACGATTGCATTTTGATTTTTCCCCATTTTTTGTAAATTGTTTGTCGGGTCGTTAAAACAGCTCATAGAAGAGCGAAATATCACCCCTAAATTTGATCGATGCTTTGGAAAAAAAAAAAAAAAAGCTAAAAAGTGTCTCCTTCTCTACCTCTTGAAAAAACCTGTGCGCGTGTGCGCTTATCAAAAAATAATCTGGCAAAAGGTACTCCACGGGTAATATCCCCCACCCACAGCTGCCAGAAGCAACGAGCTCGCGGAAACGGGAGCACATAGTAGCGAGAGAGGGAGTAAAAGTTCCCGGCGGTGGTTGCACACTTGCGCAATAATTATCTCGTTACGGCGCTCTTGCACGTACACGCCACTGTTACTACTGTACTTGTAGCGGTACAATTAGCCGCGCGTATCGCGATGAGGATTTTTCTCCCGAAACGCGAGTCAATTGAGCTCGCGGATTCCAAGCAGCAATTACAACCTCGGAGCGTTCAAGTCACGCCACAGCGGAGGACGCGCATCGACAAACATCAGAGAGAGTTTGTGCCGGTAAACTCTTGAGCGCTTCGGTAACGTTTGAACGAGTGCCCACACACCACGTGGTATATACGTGCTTATCTGGTTTCTCATCGTCAGGGAGTCCAAACATTGGCGCGACGCATCTCATCCGATGCGGTGTAACAGTCCAAACACATGGAGGGGAGGGTATTATTGGCTTATTGCCTATAGGTTGGCTCGTTAATTTGGCGGATCTTACCGGGAGTTGATCGAGAGAACCGGGTGTAGGACGTGCGTGCCCGCGAGACGCTGCGGATGCTTTGGTTAGCGCGAAGTTGATGCGTATACATGGGAGACGGCTGAGGTTTGCCTTGCGTTGGATTATTTTGATACGGGGCTGTCAAAGGTCGGGGGGGGGCAGTTCTTTACGNTCGCGATGCGCATTTTTCCGTAATTACCCGCTGCAAGCACGATTCGCGAACTATACAGAGCCGGTGCAATTTTCGAGGCGCTTTTTAACATTCCTTCGTGATGTAATTGTAATTATTTAGAGGAAGCGCGGGCTATATCGTCTCGTAGCGTGGATTTTTCTTTTGTTGCGAACATCTACTTCTTATTTTCTCTCTATCTTTATACTCCGTCTCTCGAATGGTTGGACGTTACTTTTTGACGGCCACACAATAATGTAAATCAATGTGGTAACCCTAAGCTAAACATTGCAGAAGCTACTTGACTATCGTTTGGCTTTTTGATCGGTTTCTATTTTTTTTTAATACTTTGCAAATCGATGCGAAACGTTTCGAAATTCGAGTCACAAGGCTACTTCTCTCGTAAATTTATCCTCCGAGCAGTTGCGGTAAAATAGACCCCAGAGAAAGTGAGCCGACTCTTGTGTGTATTTCTTTTTTTTCCTTAAGAAAGCGAAAAAAATACTTCAATACGTATACAAGTGGCGAATGAATTTATCAACTACGTAACCCATAGTTGATTTTTTTCATTATACCATGGAGTCGTTGAATAAATGAAATAAAAATGCTCAGTCCATTGTTGGGAGGTCTAATTTGTCTGATTTTTGTACACAAGCACAAAGACTCCAGATTAATTCATGCATCACACGTAAATGCGGTTACGAACTCCATGACCCATAAAATCAAAGCCGAAAGTGATCCACCACTAGATTTATCCCACAGGAGAGATTTGGTAATGTCTTCTATGATTTGATTGAACGATTATAGACAAGCCATTGAATAATCCCGTCATTTACCGCACAAAAAAAAAAAAAAAAAACTGGAGCTATACAACACAACGGACTCCCGCAATGAAATAGCACGCGGCCGAAGCGCGATCGGTCGTATAATAAATTCCTCCTGAAACGCGCATTTACTCCCCCTCCTCCTCTCCGGGACTCTGGTTGGTGGGTATACGCATCTACCGGTCGCGCTTACGCGCATACGTATCGACTTGCGGCTCGGATCCAATATCCATCGGGTCGTTTGCCCGTACGTTGCGGGGCTTGATTGAAATCCAGCACTTTTACGATGCATCGTTATATATAGGCTACGCTGTTTGCACAATGTTTTATTTTATTTTATTTTGTTGTTTTTCTTTCATCGAGGGCGAGCGAAATATATTTCCGGTGCAGGTAAATTGAAACAGCTGGCGGCGAAAGTTTCTTGCTCGTTAGCTCGGGCTGGCGTTTGAATAAGAAAACATCTCGAAAGTTTGTCAGCGTCGGCGAGTGTGTACAGGAGAAGGGGGCTAAGGAAGCGGGGTCGCGGTGTGTCGGAGGCGAGCAAAGGGAGCACAATACATCGAGTGGGCGAACTTTCGCGCGGTGGATGTATAGTTGAGGGTGCATTAGGGCGAGGTACATTTTGGGATGCACTTACGGGAGGGGAAAAGAGGAGAGTCCGTGTTGGGCTAATTGAGTCTTGGGGAAAGGTGAGAAAGAGGTACATTGGACTTACCTCGAAGCTCAGGATGCCGCTGTGGTCGTGGTCCAGGGTGTTGAAGACGTAGTGGGCGTACTGGCTGGTGTTTGCTGGAAACAGGAAAGACAAAGAACACTGTTATTAACTGAATCAACAAGGAGGGAAAACTATTTTTTGTTTGAAACATGCTAAAGTATGTATTATTTTGGTTACTTCGAATAATAATTTTTTCACAGTCTTACATTTTTTTTTTCATTTTTAATTTGTAGTATTAGACAGGGTAATCTGTTTATATGTTTATATAGGCTTTGTTATGTTCTATCAATTTTTTTTTTCTTTTTTTTTTTTTTTTTTTCGAAGGATACTGAAAAAAAAATCTTGATCTCCAAATTTGGATCATCTTTGTACCGTATCCTACGTTGAAAAATTATTCCTCCTACATTCGTTCAAAAGTCGATAATTAATAACACTCGCTTTTTAATTTTGTACATCTAGGAATCCTATGTATAAGATGAGATGAATACAAGAATTTCAAACACATCTACCATGTAAAATAGATACATTCCCCGTTTGTAACTTTTCTTGAAATCTCGTGGCAAAAAAAATTTGACGATACGATTTAACTGAAATTCAATGTTAAAAACGATGCAAAAAAAATCACATTATATACTTGAGATCCATCCAACACATACTTTTGGATCAGTCTACAATACACTTTCATCGCAAAATAAAAAAAAGCACATTTCTACCACGCCGTCCCAACATCTGATTCTATCCATCGCAAAGTCTCATCCTCGTCGAGAAAGCAGATAAAAGTCACGAAACATCCATCAGAGCAGTTTTTCACCTTCACCAAAATCACACGCTTCATCGCAACCAATTTGCCATTTAGTCCAACGAAAAAGACCAAATGAGCTCGGATAATTTATTTACAGCCCCGTTCCTTTTCATTCCACACTCACGAAGCACACGAGTACCCGAAAGTAGCGTTAATCACTTCCGGCCAAGCGGAGCCACGTGGCTGTGACTCCAGTCGCGTAAATCATTCGTCTCTCGCTCCCCGGCGTCCAAAGAAATCGAAAGACCAAAGCTCGATTCCCACCCGCCCCTTTTAAACTCCAAGGGAAGGAGAGGAGGTTGAAAGGAAGTTGACTCCGAACCATATACATGTATTATTGACAACGACTCGTCCACCGAAACTCAAAGTCGTCTATACAAGGATTTTTTTCTTCCCCTCCCTTTGTGAAAAAAAAACATCATCTTGCGCTTACACGTCCGCGCTCCCCTTGCGTTGGTTCGATTCTTACCCTCGACTATGGAAGAGTATAGAGCCGGCAGTGTGATTCTTCGTCCCCTTCCGTCCGCCGCGGCGCTACCGAACATCATCAAGTAATACAATTTCACGTGTACGACAAGAGGGGGAGAGAACAGCTCGGGGGGTGTAATCGAGTTTTACTTTCATCGCAGGAAGGAGCCGCTGCGTATGTGCGCTCCGGTTTATTTTTCCCCCGGGAAAAAAAAAAAAAAAACGGGGGGTGGGGAAGAAGCCCCCGATGCCGAGTGTGCACTGCTCGAGAGACAATTTTTCCAGCGCCGGGTAGAGCTTATCGGGAATCGAATGCGAATCGAGTCTAACGACGAAAGAAAAGGGAATTGTGTTTTTGCCGAGTGCTGTGGCACTTTCGAAGAGGCGCGTCGTATGTGATCTAAAACGCGACCCCTGTGTCTGTACCTATACCCGATTGCATTTCGTCACCCGCTCCGCATGTATTGTACATTGATGAGACGTGCAGATATAAAATTATTAATCGTCACACGCGTGCATTTCCTCGTGCAGGTATAATTGGACGCTACGCGCATCATTAATTATCACGGGCAACCCGAGAGTTTTAAATCACCGATGCTCTTGAATTATCGCCCAACGGGGGTATAAGTGTCACTCGTACGGGGGGGCTAATTATACCGAGCGCGATAAAAAACAGCCCTGCCGGGCTTTGGTATTGGGGCGTGCGCGTGTCTTTTGCCCATCGGCGCGAGCAAACACAAGCTCATCGCTACCTACGTACACACAATTTAAAACGCAGCTAGCGCGAGCATCGGTAATTTTATCACTCGGCGTACGCGTAAATCTCGACGTCGCGGTAATTATCGGCTCTCGCGGGAATCCGATTATACTTCATGGAAATGCTTCCTTGGCCCGCTGATGATTCGATCTAGTCGGGAATCGAGGACTTTTTTTTTTTTTTGAAGGTCCCTCTCTGGTTTTTACGGCTTACTGCGATGGCAGCGCGGTTCTTTTTTGTTTTTATCAAACACGTAAGGTTCCGCCCGTAAAAGCTCGAGCACGTTTCATCTGGCCCTCAAAGTTTTACTTAACTGAAAAATAGATATCTCAGGACGAGGGTTCGCCAAGAGCTTTAAAAATAAAGTGCAACCCCCTGCTTTTCCCTCCTCCCTTTTGCTTCTCCGTGATGTTGAGAATTTCCGTCGGGCACGCGCGGGGAGATCGTAATTTTTTTTCATCAAGGCATACTCTCTCTCTCTTCTTCTGTACATATACATTGAAACGTTCCGTACGTTTTAGCTTTGTAAAATAAATGACCGAAAGTATCCTTTTGGTAGCTCAAATCTTCTCTTCTTTTTCCAAAGCAGTGGAAAAATAAATACAAAAATGCTCTCTCCGTTGCAAAAGTGGGAAGAAAAGAAAAGAATCCGACCAACTATAAATAATTCGCGTGGGCAGGGGAGCCCAATTGAGCAGCACAGGCCAAAGGATACCTGCTAGCAGTAATCAACACATGTATGGGCTTGTATCGTCTCCCGCGGACCGGCTGCTGTTTGCCACGTACACCAAGAGCCCCTAGCTCTCCCGTGGAGATAGGTGGGCTAATGAGATTATTCGAGGAGTTTTTTTATCTCTTCCGGCCTCGATCCAGCCTTTGTTTCGTCGACTCGCCGGATATTTGTATCAATCAGTGTACCGATCGAGAGGGAAAAAAAATATTTTTCAACGATCGCCCCGTTAGTCTTAATAAGAAGTATCTATCCGACTTTGTTTTCGTGGCGAGGAAAATCTCTCGTGTAGATCCACATCTTGGTATATATATNTATATATATATATATATATGTACGTATACGAATTGGTTTGTCTTGGCGCGCAGTCGGATGTTTGCGAAACAACGAAGGTGCCGGGAGGGAAGGAAAAAACGAGGGGGAAGAAGTTAACGAGGAGTCACGAGCTGACATCGGCTTTGCCGAAAAAGGGCGCCACCTTGTGAGTTATAGGTGTAATAAATGAACTAGTATAGCGTGGCAGTATACGTTCGGTAGAGTGAAAATTATCTGGTTTTAAACATATCAACGCGATATGTGTTCTGGAGACAAAGAGAAAGGCCAAGCATTGGTGTGAGATTTTTTTGGCTCCGAATGGTAATTCTGGAATCGTCTCGAGCTTAGAGGTGAATCACATTTTTTCTAGTTCCCCGTTTGTAACTTTTCTTGAAATCTCGTGGCAATCACATTTTTTCTATTTCAGATACGTTGTGAATTTACGAAAAAGTTAGTATGTTCCAATGCGAACGAGAGCAATAACATAGTTATTCAACACTTAGTTTTTTGAGCTTTATAATCTTTAAAAAAAAATCAAGACCTGATACACACGTATAAAACTACTAGTTTTTTTCTACTGGCATGAAAAATTTCCTTTTTTGTGGAGGTACGTAATTTTTCCTCTATGAAAATACAAATGATCAAAGTCATAAATTGTTTGAAAAAAATTATTTCTTCGACAACTTTAATTTTTACTGTCATGAATATATTTGCGAACGTACACACATATACTTTCTTAAAGATGTGATTCGAGGTATCGTAATTTATAAGAATTCATAATGACGTTAGTAAAACCATAACTTCAGACTGTTTTTGTTGAAAAAAAAGATTGATTTACATAAGCTGAATGAAATTAATATAAATAATTCATTAGAGTTTTGTAAGCTTGCACTTCTCAGTTCATCAGACACAGACCTATTTCAAGAGAACTTTTGTTCATTACAATATGTATTTTAACCAAACTCTTCAGATATCGCCGTACTAATGTACGTACAAACGCGGTAGAGAAAAATACAATTTTTAAAAAATCGTGATTGCCGGTTTTTCGAACCTACAACAATTATGCATTTTCCTCACCGCACTTCCGGATGTTCCCTCCCGCGAATGCCAACTTGGGACGTTTGCTGGCCGCGATAACCAGCAGTTTTCCTCGTCGCGCGCCAGAAAGGTAAGGTCCGCATTAGCATTCGAGCCCTCGAGCGCTCCCGGAAAGAAGGTAGTTCCCTTTTTTTTTTTTTTTGCCGCGCGTATACCCCCCGAAGAGATTAGAGAGCGGATCAAAAAAAAAAAGGAGAAGGTTGCGAGGGCGCGCATCCGTAAGGACATCAGAGGGTCACGTAATGCGAATTATACGCGCCTGCCTTCCCTCCTCTCGGCTCTTTCCCCGACGCGTCGCCGACCTCGGATTTGCGCTACGATGTTCCTCCTTTCTCAGAGCCTGTCTCGAATCCTTAACCTTTACATTCACGTTTTTCCTGCTTTGAGCAACGGGTTGGGGTAAAAAAAATTACCATCACCTAAATTACTTTTCGGAAAATGGAAACGTATTCAAATTACAAATAATATCATCGCGTCAATAACCACAACATTCAACACAACATTCTATATGATGCTTGTCCTAAAAAAAAAAAATGATTGTTTTTCATTAAAACTCTTTTCTCCCTATGTTATAACATAGTAAAAGTGAAAATCACGTCGTGTGTCAAAATATCGAGACAGTTCCACCGTGTTCTTGGCAAAGGTTCGGTTTTACTAATTTTTTTTCTTCATTGCAACACTGAAACGTGACACAGCCGTTAACAAGTGTCGACTCTGTTCTTTTCGTCTCATCGCGACTGACTTTAATTTAAGGAAATACAGACTCAAAGATTATTCGGCTAACTTAAGATTGATCCGTACACGAATATAAGCATCCGCACTGATACTTTGAAAAGCCCGTCAAAACAAAGTAAAAAAGGTCCAAAAGCCGACGAGTCCTTGTGCACGTCTCCCCGAGCCATAATTCACGTAACGAGCACCAGATGAGTTTAGAGGTCAGGGCCGACCGGGGTGTTTGCAGCGCCAGTCGGTCGGTGTACGATTGTATCTGTATAGACTCTGGCGCGCGCCCGACCCTCCACAATTTCGACCGACCAGCCACTCCGGAGTCCCATAAATCGCCTGGACGAAGCGTCGTTGGTATATACTCACACGTGATGGCACTGTCGCGACGCGGCAAAAATTTTCACGGCTAGAGGACGTGACGTCGTCTTTGCGGAACGTGCGCTGGCAGTGTCTATAGGGCCAAAATTTAATAAAGCGGTACGTGACGGCCATTCGTCGGAATCGAGGAGGGTGTTAACTTTCTTTATCGGATGAAGAAAACTGCCCGTAGCTGAAATCGCGTATTTATGAGAAATATTGATTAACAAAAATGTAATTGTTGTTTTCATCCAGAGGAATTATCCGGAGTTGCACAGAGGCGCGTTGGCCGAGAGGGGGTCGTTTCCCGTCAATCCGACCGGGATTTTCAGCGGATAAGCTTTTGCGCGGGATCGGGGGATTTTCCGCGGCAGCTGTTACCCGCTAATGGGAACACGAGTGGGTAGGTGCGTCTCGAGCAATTTTCACCCGGATTTTGGGTACACTCGATCGAGAGTTCACGTGAAACATCGTTTTAATGGAATTCCGCTCGATGTAAATTCAAAACGAATAATAATGTTGCTGTGGCATAACGTTGTTTTCTATTTCATTTTCGCGTTTCCGAAATTTTGTTTGCGCAACAAAGGCACATGGGGGAAAACTCGAAATGCTCTATACTATTCATTGGAAAAACCAAATATTTCCCAGAAGTAAGTACACGTGATTTTTATTTTTTGCGCAACGTACGCGTAACGTGCAGAGCCCGCAAGGGCGGAGAGGATAAGTCTCACTCGCCGCGGGCACTTTTCTAATTCACCGCGTGCGGGCTGGCTTCATTAGCGAGATGAATTGTTTTGCTGTTGCCGGCTTGGCTCCTAATTAACGCGAAGTCTACTTAATTATGCGAACTCGCGAGAAAATGAGCGCTCGTGTCTTGAGGGTCTAATGAATTATCGCTGTTGTTTTCTTTTTATTTATTTTTTTTTTTACCTAAGAGGAAATGATGGGGTGGTTTTTTGTTTCAGCCGATGGTTCGCCTGTTGCCGAGATGATTTATGTTTATGGGCACCGATGGAGCATCAAACGAGAATGGTTGGTCACATTTTCATCAATGGTACAGTTATAGCGAGCTCTACTGCGCGCTAGTGTCAGCAGTATAGAAATGTTTCTCTGAGGAAAAAAGGCACGCTGCAAAAATTGATGTTTCACAGCTCTAAAATTATCTTTGAACAGCATTTCAATTCAAATCTCTTGAAACACAATTTGCAACTCATTAAATGAATTATGACTATGGCATCTATATGTGTACTTAGTCAAACTGTGCTGTAATTCTGGGAAAATACTTTGTTTTTCCTCAAATCAGCTTGTATGTCCTGTCGATTACGATGAATCGCAAATTTAAGAGGATTTTTAGAATATTATCGACTCAAACGAGCTTTGCAATCAATCGATCGGACCATCGACGCGCTTCGTTAAAACGTCTTACGTACGTATTACCTAAAAAAATGTATCGGAAGGAGAAATACTCTTCGGTGCTTATCTAGGAAATTTCTCATAAAAAAAGTTGCAACACGAGTAAAAATGTTAAGAAGCACAAAAGTGTTGCATGTGTGTGCAAAGAGTTAGGAATAGGCAACATGACTCACTTTTTTTGTTTTCTCACGCTGTTTCTTCCTCGTGCATGTACAACTATATGTATTGTAATGCTCTATAGACGCGCAAATTTATTTATCCGTCCGTCTCATAAACTCATCAATTTTAATTTTAACGCGATGAATATTGTTTAAATCGATGATTTCCTTAATCAAATTTCATTCGGTGAAGCAAAAAATATCATCGTCGTATAGATGTATTTTCGAAAAGTGTCACTTTACGTAATACTCCAAGATAGTACGAGGAAAATTGTAGTTGTAACAGAGAATGTTTTCATGCATCTATTGGCTTTGGAGTTTCCCACACTCATAGACGCATACGCACAAGCCTAGAAGTTATATAAACTAGTCAAACTTAATGTTTACTCAGTTACTTTGAAACATCGGAAGCAAAATGATCAAGGGTCTAGCATTTTGTTTTTTGCTGATAGTTGGCTGTAGTACAATCAGCACGAGTGAGTGAATTTTTTCAAACAATCGTACTTTATTGTGAGTTTCGACTGTTGCAAAGGTAATTTTGATTAAAAATTTTTGTTGACCATTATAGTGGCCCAGTGTCCGCCAAACTCGGTGTATACCGATTGTGGCTCAGCGTGTCCGCCAACCTGCGAGTCACCAAGTCCTGGTTTTTGTATCCAAGTAAGTTTACATTTAATTCAGATTCTTTTGCTTACTCAAAACAAATAATAAATCTTTTTTTTTTTTTTTATTTAAGATGTGTGTGCCGGAGAGCTGCGAGTGTTTCCAAGGTTTTTTGCAGAAAAATGGTCGTTGCGTTAGACCATACGAGTGTTAAATATATACATTCTTTACGACTTCTCGTGTATAAATAATGACGCCAAGTTACTTTTGTAAAATAAAATGTTTTATTAAAATTTACCAACAACACGTAAATTGCTATTTATTTAAAAAAAAAAAAAAAAAAAAAAAAAAAGAAATACAAACACTCACATGATATTGTTACAGCCAATGTTTTTAGTGCGCAAAACTCATTACCGCAAAAACTTTTAGTGCTAACAAGGAAAAAATATCAATAATATTTTCCGCGTTTTGATTTATGACAAGTACAAGCATACACGGATATCACCGGCTGAAGAGACAGCTATAAAATAACTTGTATATTTTGGTATTGAGTCATTTAAGAGATACGCGAACCAAAATGAATAAGAGTATCGCAGTGCTTTTTTTGCTTTTTGTAAGCATCAATATAATTTGGGCATGTAAGTAAAATACTGTTTAAAAATCGTAAAACTTTAAGTGCAATATAAAAAAAAAATTTTTTTTTGTCTAGATGCATCACACAGGTGTCCGGCTAATCAAACATTCACCGAATCTGGTTCCGCCTGTCCACCAAGATGCAATGTAAGATCAGTGAAGGCTCCAGCCAGATGTCTTGCAATTGTAAGTGCAGAGGAGTGTGCAAAAATCACTTTTGGAAGAAACTCTTAATGGAGAATTCTTGCCTTTTAGAACCAATATAACAATACTTGTTTGTATTTCAGAGTTTTGAGCCAAAGTGCAGGTGCAATCCGGGATACATAATAAAAGGGAACAATTGTGTCAAATCAAAAGACTGTTGAGGCATCCAGTTCGTTTTTCAGTACCCATCTTTCTTTTAATGAAATTTTCGCACGTCTATAAAAATTAGTAGAAATGGGATGAAATAGAAATCAGGATTTTAAACAAGTACTGTTGGATTACAAGTTTATCTCTCTATAACCACTTGCCGAACACATGAAAGTGCTTAATTAAATGTGATTTTTCATTCCTTCACCAATTTACTTATTTTATTTGTCAATGAATTATAATCGATTTGATAACCACATAAAAAAAGTTATTATTTAAAAAATATGTGTTTAAAAAAAAAGAATACGTAGTATTTTATGAAAATAATAGTGATATGTAAGTAATGTATGTTAGTATGAAATAAAAATGATATAATAATAATTTGCAATAAAGCCTTTACTTGCGTCTGTTGAGTAATAATCTACTCGACTAATTTCTCAATTTTCTCATAAATTTATCAATTAAATCATATCCGAGCTCATGGCGGAACAAAAAATAAACGCTTTACCTATAGAAAAAAAAATTAGAAATGAACATCGTCTGATTAATTATACAACGGCAACACGAGTAGCGAAACACAGCGCTCCAATTTTGGAGAAATAAAGAAGGTGCTCCGACGACTCGAAAAATCTTGAGACCGTCTGGTGGTGTTACGATTAAACAATGGATTCGAGCGCGCCCGCGTGTCTTGTTCACGCACGAGTTGGTACACAGAAAAATCTCGATAAGCGCAAATAAAGCTTTAAAATTTTTTGCTCACGCATTGTCATACCTTACCAAAAATAAAAGTGTTATCTACGTGTTCACTGACCTCCTTGGGGAAAGAACTGCGAGTAGATGATTTTGAAGGTGTCCTCGCGCACCACGCCGGTGGGGCACTGGGCCTTGAAGCCTCGGTAGATGCGCTTCATCTCAGCCTCGGTGAAGCGGGTCGCGCGACACAGGCTTGCCAGCGAGTCCGGCCTGTACCTCGGTATCTGCTCCTCCTCGTACTCGGAGTCTGCGAGAAACAATAAATAACGTGAGCACGTGGAAGTTTATAGTGCGGCGTGGGTGCCATCTCTCCTCGGGCTGATTTCCTTATATACATAGTTCATCGTGTCGTTACGGCTAAGAAGAAGAAGAAGTAAAGTGCAAAAGGCACGAGAGTGGAAAGATAATATTGTAATTTAAGAAATCATGGGTGCGTAGATCATGTAAAAAAAATAGGCTTTACTATGGTGACGTTTCGTTGGCAGCTTTTTTTTTTACTTTCTAGAATTTGAGGTTCGATTTAATGCTTTGGCTTGTCTGAAGTTTTGCAACATCAAACACCAATGTTTGACTTTTTATAAAGTCTGTGAAGGATTTTTAATGATTCGAAATATCACCATAGTTGTGTACCTAGTAGAATAAAAGTATAGACGAAAATAACACTGAGAAGGCAATATTGTCAAGCGAACAGCTAGCTAAGCTGTAAACTTCATTTTCATATACGGGAAAAATATTGTAAATTTATTCAGTTCAAAAATGTGGTTCGTAGTAAAGATATAAAAAGTTTTTGAGATAGAAAAATGGTGTGTACGTTAAACATAACTCTAAGTAAAAATTCTACGAGATAAAATTTGTGCTACGTGCTACTTGTGTATGTGAACAAACTCTTTGACTCGATTAAAAATGTGAAAGAAAGAATAAATGAAACGGACTTTTAGGTAAAAAGTTTCTACAATGAAAAAAAAAAGACAAAGACAAAACACCGGGTGTTGTTAAAAAATGGAAAAATAAAAAGATACAAACAACACGTGTGATACCTATTAAAATCAGGTATCAAAAAAAAAGGTTCAAGAAACCAAGGCGAATATTTCCCATCTGGAGCGAATAATATGCCACTGCAGCCGAGAGAAACTAAAGTCAAACGAAAAGCTCAGTCACGGCGACAAGATGAGCAAAAGCACCGGAGCTGAAAATGAAGCCAACAAGTATAAATCCGAAAATTACATGAATGGCGTCAAAGAAGCAAGTGCACGTAGGAAGGGGGGGGGGTGCAGTGGCGTCCTTGCTTTATTTCCCGGGGGACAGTGACTGGCGCCATCGAGAGATCGGACTCGCGGGAATCATCGCTATACACCTGCTGCGAGTCGTTTACACGAGGCGCCGATAAGAGGTGTGCAGTGCCGTCGAATATCGCCGCTGCGGCTTTTTTTTTTTTCCTCCCTTCCTTCACTAGCTTGGGAAAGTTGCTGACCGAATGATCGGTTTTGGGGAGGAGGCTTTTAAGGACGCCAACTCAGATTGCTGCCATAGGATATATCTAAATGCGATACGTTGGTACGAAGGGTGTTTTATTAAAGCTCGATTTTGTTTCGGTCGGTAGTATATTGGACTCGTATGTGACTTTTCTTTCGTCTCCGATACCTACACGCATCGATACGTGATTCTTGTATCGCGTGTAACGTGACTGTATACCGTTTAAAGAGTGAATTATTCATTTTCTAGCAAAAACAATTGTTTTTGCCATTTTTAAGAGAAAAATGAGTTCGTCACGAGCTTTAATACAATAAAAAAAAAAAAAAAAAAGTGAATTATATGCAATACAATTGTCGGTAATTTTTTACGCATCCCCCGTTTATTGGATATAATATGTATATATACCAGGGGACACGGACAAATGAATGGCGCACGTGGTCGCGTCATGTTTAGTTGAATAAACGCCTCTGGTGGTGTTGCCCTTGTTAACGGCAGGAGCTGCCATATACATAGCGCCCAACTCGATAATTCACTCTGCTCGCACGTGCGGAGCTTAAACACAGTTTTCGTCCCGACAGCGTCATTTTTTCCATTTTTCCCAGATAATTCACGAGTGTCAATTATACGGGAAAAATGGCACGTATTTTTTTTTTTTTTTTTTTTTTGTTTTTCGAGCTGACGAATGGCGCGGTATAGAAATACACAAGGACGCCTGCGAATCGATTCTCTATTATTTTGTTTATCTTGTGTATACCTACGTTGTAAGACGAAGAGGAGGTGAACGTGATTACACGAAAATAATAATGATAACAGCCCAACATAATCGCTCGTGTTAATTTTCACGTGCCCAGAATATTCGCTTCTCCTTCAGCAACAATTAAAAAGTCATCAGCGCAGTCTGATATTAAAAGATTCCCGCGCATCTCGAGAAAAATTCTTGCTTTCACGCTCTTTTTTCCCTCCCCCTCGCGTCAGGATATACATCCGTATACTCGTCGAGGCTCCGGTTTCCCACCACACCGCTCGACGCTCCTGTGTATGTGTGTACGTGGCTCCTTGCTTCCTCCCCTTTCTTTTCACGATAACATTTCCTGACGCTACCCACGATTTTTCACTCTTTCGCCCGCACTGCGGAACTCGAGTAATCCGCCAGGTGGTCCTTATCACCGATTGCCACATCAGTGCGGATGATGCATGTGAATGGCGCACGGGAATAGGGCGCTTGCTATCGGCTGATACGGGCTTGAGGGATTTTTGCCCCCAGCTCTCCCGTGCACTACGTCATCCATTTGGATCGCAATTTTCTTTTTTTTTTTGTCAACATCGTCTTCGTGGTGTCGCACACCGTGTGTACAAAAAAAATAGGCGTGTGCAGTCATTACACACAATAATCAGAGGAAAAATAAATCATCCTAGGTTTGAGTCTCCTTTGAATTCGCGAGTTCCATATCCTTTTGACGGCACTACACGCACGTACGTGTGGACAGTATAAAGAAGAGATGGAAAAATCCATCGAGGAATGGGAAACCTGGAGATCAGTCACGCTAGCGTCCGTGAAAAAAAAAAAGGACGAAACAGCTAAAGCCCATCGCGTGTCCTTTCTCCTCTTCCCTTTTGGATTTTTCGCCCCAACGGGGATTTTCCACCCCAAAGTGGTGGATAGGACAGTGGTGTGATGCGGTGAAATGACTTCGCGCGGAGAAAAACCCAGCGTGTGTGTACACGGGAGCATGTAAAGAGGAGGGCACGGTGCGGTCCACGCGTGGAAGTTTCCAATTTTACGCCCAGCTTTCCCAACCCCCACGTTTTTCCCCCCCGGTCCGAGCTTCAAATTTGCGGCTTTGCTTTGAGGGCGGGCGCCGGGCGTTGAAATTGAATTCCGCCGAAAGGGAGACCGACGCTCTCTCTCTCTCCCTCTGTTTTCAGGGGCTCGCGTAATAAGAGAACATTTTGGGATTTGGGTTAATGGTGTTCTTTGTCTCTCATATACATTGGGGGAAACCCTCTTTATCTCGGGATTCTTTTTTTTTTTTTTTTTTTTTTTTTTTCCAACGGAATCGCTTCATGGTGCATCAGCGTGACGTTACAATCGGTTTGTTTCATCGTTACAGCTGGCACGGCCAACTTATCTGGGTAAACGAGAGTATAAGTATACACCTTGTGCTCGGGGAAATAAAACATAATCCAGGAGCCACCCTCAGGGTTCCACATTTACATGAAAAATCGAGAGTTACGAATTTTTTTTTTTCCCTCAAAAATGCGTGGCTTCTTCTGCAATTTACTTTGGCGGGATATCCGCGCGCACGGCAGTGTAGGTATACACACTGTAACGCGACGCCGCGCGAGAACAGAGGGAAATAAAGAATCAAGTTTTGACATGTTTTATTGGCGAACTTGAGACTCTCCGAGACACGGAGAGAACATAATAATACCTACGTGAGTTGTTGCACGTGTTTTACTTTGTACGCGGGTTTTTCAGGAGGATAAGAGGCAACAATATTACGCCATCAGAGCCATGCGAAACATACAATGTTTCTCGTTTTTTTTTTTTCTTCTTCTTCGTACTTTGGGACTTTTATTCGCGGCAAGATGGTTGATTTTATTGGTCATAACTATTTCCGTAGTTTTTGAAACACTTTAGTATAAATTTTGTTTTTTGTCGGAAATACAATGCAATTTAATCCGTATAAAAGATAGTGGAATGTATTTTTAGAGGATGAGGCTTTGGTACTTAGTTTTTTTCTAGTTTACGAATGTTCAGCAATAACTTCGAGGATGCGTTTGAAAAAGCACAAGCCTGGCATGGTTATTACCCAAGTGCATTTGGAATGAATTTCTTGCAATATTTCATTGTGGAAATGTTTTGTCGTAGCGGGGCGATGTGAACGTCTTAAATATCCGTGAGGCAGCGCGAAATCCTTGGACGAGTCATCATCGATCAATGCCAAAGTTCGACGGAAGATTGAAGATACAGTTTGCGCGGGGGTATGATCGATTTTCCTTCACGTATTTGTCAGAGGTGCTGAAATTTCAAACATACGAGAATAAACGATGGAAATCTTTAACTTTTCCCCATATATTTAAGATCCGAGAAAAAAATTATGTGGTTAAACCAATGAAAGTCGTGAGCACAGACAAAAACTGACCGAGTCATGGAGAAAACTTGGCGTTTTGAAATTAATGTGTTGCAAAATCTCGGATCTTCTTTTTTTTGATTTTCATTTCACTCGAGTGTAGCTTTTTGTGTGTTGCCGTGCCTCTGGCAACGCTTGCCACACCGAGTTGGCTTCTGACGTATGAGGTTTCGCTTTTTCCTCGGCTTTCTTTTGTCAGTTTTCAGCTAAATTCGCGAGTCCCGCGAACAATTTTTCATCCCGCGCGGTAAATAACTTTTACGAGCGAAACTCAATTTTTTCTCGTTGGATTGTTTTTTCCGATTTGGAATTTTTAGAAAAATCATCTCTGATAAATCCATCCAAAACAGCCCTGGTTATACGCATTGCAAAGGTTTCAGCATTTGTTTATGACGCGAGAAATGACTTTGAATACATAATTAATGCCAGTACGTACGTATCTCTGAAAAGTACTCCGCTTCTATTAACTTACTTTATTCGGAGTATTTTTTCTAATTTAGACTCGTCACCTACTTTTTTTTTTTTTCTCGGCGTGAGAGAAAATAAGATGGCAAGAAATTGCACTTTCGTCCACGTCGTAAAGGCGTTTTCTCTTTTTTTCTCTTTGTCCGTGCAAATGTAAATCTTTCGTGTCACGACGAATAAAGCCCAGCAAAAAAGGCTGGCACACTAGATTCTGTCAGTGAAAAACGAGGTGTTGAACTTTTGTTTACGATTTGTTGACACTAGCCGTGAAATAATCCTAAAATAAATGTACAGGAAACGCGAGTACTCAAAACGTGACACTACTTATTTTTTATTGGAATACCTACAATATGTGTCATTCAATGATGTTCGACAGAAAAGTGTTGTTTTTTTAGCTACTTGAGAAAAAGTTGCTTATATATTTACAAAAGATTCATACTATAAAAGACAGTATTTTCATAAAATTAGTTAACTGATGGAAAAATTTCATTCAAGACAGGAAAAACTGACACTGACAATGTAAATCAAGGCAGTACATAAAACTTTTTTTTTTTTTTTTTTTGTACACACAAATGCACAGGTCCAGTGTCTGATTATCCTGGCTACAGAGTACAAAGATGTGAGTGAATTAAAAATTCAAGTACAACAGGCAGTAGGAGATGTAAAAAAATAAAAAAGCAATGGTGGATTAAATAATACCTATGTCGCACATCATGTCAGCTGAGCGTTGAACAGCGAGGGTAAGTTCGGATTAGACATCAAAGATAAAAAAACAATCTTAACTATTACATGTGGATTATATTATGGTTTTTAAGTACGATTATTCAATTTTCAACGACTTTCGAAAATCAATTTCACGTCAATCGTCGAAATCTGTTGAAAATCCAATGTGTTATGTGCCATGATTGAGAAATTTCTTATCACGAAAGGAAAATTGTTCATCCAAAGAGCTGAACAATTTCCTCAAATCGTAATATTTACTTTTTCAAATCAATTTCAACACGAGTGTATATAAATATACATGCGCCGTAAAAAGTCATCGCAAAAACCGCGATACGAAGAAACAGAGGCGAAATCGCTTTGAGAATTTCAGAAAAGGCCAGTTTTGTAAAAGACCTCGCGAGTATTCGCCCCCAATGTCTTCCACACCGCGGCAAGAACTACTATGCTTTTTTTCATTGTGCACAATCAATTATACTTTAACGATATTTTCCGTGGAAACAGCGCAATGTACATACACACACATAAAACTTATACGCAACCAGCAAATAAACAAGCCAACAACGACAACAACAACAACAACCATGTACAACCGCAAGCGCTCGCGAACAATTTTTTACAGCGCAGGTACTAAAAAAAAAAAAAAAAAAAAAAAAAAAAATTCGTCTTTTCTATGACAATGATAATACAATACTATATACTTCAATCGGAGAGGGTGTAGATGGTCGAGCTCACCTAGGGCGAACTTGACGCCGGTCCAGGCCTCGCGCACGTAGTTGATGAACCGCCTGTAGAGGGGCTTGGGCGGGCGCTTCATCTCAGGGCTCTCCTCCTCGTCGGGGGTCGGCTCCTCGACGACGACGGCCCCGGGGGGCGGGTCGACGCCTATGAGCCGGCCGGCCTGGTTCCGTTGGCCGAGTATGTTGACGACCTCCCGGAGGCCCGGCTCCACGGCCGGCAGGCCCCCCGGGTATTGACTCGCCTGGAGCGCGGGGGCGGCCGGCAGACTCGCGCCGCCGCCGCCCCCGCGACCTCGGCCGCCCCGGCCCTTGCCACCCCGGCCCCATGATCCGCCGCTACCTGGTGTTGCGGTTCGTCGGCGCCGTCGTTCGGGGAACAGAGACAGCACAGGACGGACAGATTAGTCGCTTCGATCGGTCAGGCGAGCGGTGGTGCTTTGTGCGAGTGTATAATATATTAGTGAAAGGGTCGGAATGCCTAACGCGATCGAGTGTTGCTCAAGGAGGTGTGAGGTGGTACGGGTGATTGCCAAAAAGTTTACTCCAACGCGATGTTCAATCTACAATTTTACACGTGATACAAGCTTACATTTTTTTTTAATAATCTCCGATGCTTGGAGGTTCTTGGGTGATTGTTAACTTGCCCGTTGTAAAAAAACTAGAACGTATTTATTGAACATTCTGTTAATAAAAGTAATATTTGGTTTGAAAAAGGTTACTTGATATTTTCAGTGTCAGCTTATTGTTGAAAAAAATCATATGATGCTCTCTTTTTTTTGTGTCTTGTCTGCATCAATGCAAAAAGTATAAATACCAAAAGTCACAAAGATGTTTCCCTGCAGTCAACTAGTTTAAACAAGTGGTAGATTAAAAAAAAAAAAATTACTAAAAAAAAACTTACACAAGTTGTACTCCGTAATATATATATGTTTGACTTTTTGACAATCACCTGTACGTAAAAGTGTGTCAGACTTATTTGACATCTTCTTGAAGTCGCTCATTCTTAAATTAATCGAGTGGAAAATTCTAGAGTGCAAGCTATTCTTCAACTATTGGGAGTAAGTGGTCTATACTGTATATCGAAAGGATATAGTTCGATTTAATTGAAGAATGATTTTTCAAGTGTTGGCATTTAAAATTTTCAATTTAATCAAGTTTACCTACTTACGACTTTTTTGACTGAATACAACCATCGTGAAAAAAATAAAAATGAAAATTTCTCTTATTCAGTTGTTATCCATGAATATGCACAGCTGTATCGTAAATGCAGGCCGAGAATAAATCTACGATTCCGAACCTTTCACGCGTGTATTAAAATTTATTTGTACAGGGAGAAATGAAAAACTAGTGAATGATCCAAGTGTCGAGGAAAAGGGCTTATTATTGAGTGTGTTGTTATTTTAGGAACAAAACGATAAAAGTACAATAATTAATCATCGACAAAACTAGCAATGCATCGTACCCTACCAATTATATAAAAAAGGTTGTCACAAGAAAAACAAAGGTTGTAAAAATTTAACAATTTCAATCATAAAACATTCAAAGCCACAAAATATTTTGAAAAATTCTGAATGTAGGAAAAAAAAATTTGTTGAGGTGTGTATATCATGTCATCGGCTTCCATACACAGCGAGTCAATGAGAAATTTTGATAGGACATCCACGAGTTTTACTTTTCCCGTATCTTTTTTTTCATCCCTTATACCACAAAGTCGTCCAATTTTTTTACCGTTTGTCTTTTGAACTGGTTCGTTATGCCTTGATCTCTTCACAATAGTTCGTCTAAAAGGGTTCTTATGACCCTCGGAGTTGCTTGTGTGCAACATGAACTTCAAAAATCAGCATGTATTATTCAGTGTAGGATGACTTTTCGATACTTATATCATAAAAAAAAAAAAAAATCAACATTAAATGATGATTAGTAATGGAAAAGTTCAACGATACTTGTTTTTTTTGTATTATAGTTAAAGCTGTATATTTAAAACGTAACTCAAAATTATATTTAAAAAAAAGCAGCGATGTTAAGCTTGAAAATTTAAAATACAAAAAGTAAACCACTAGTATCCGATTTTCCAATGCAATACACAATTGTTTCGAAGAATTTGTACTCTTCATTTATTTGTATGGATTGTAAAACGAAATCAAAGTAAAGCCATAAATTGGTGAATAAATGCAGGAGAAATACACTAAATTAAGTGCAGTCGATTACTAGTGCTTTTTTTTTTCTTATCGTCATTAAGTGACAAAAATTAAGTTAACTTTTTCAACTTCATTCTCAAACTATCGTAATATAATTCCTGGCGATTACTACAAATGAAATATCAAATCGTCAGAGTGAAACGTAAAAATGACTTTGTTGTAATCGCCAAAAAATACATTCAAAAGTAAAACAGAATAAATGAAAATAATTTAATTGTATGGGCACAAAGAGATCTTCGCAGTAACGTGCACAGATAAAATATTCGTCAAGTTATGTAAACTGGAAATAAATTGTAAAACACAGGTTGTGGTGCAGTTTGTGTCGATGCATACCCCAAACGTGACGTATCAGTTTCTAAAAACAAATTGTCGTATCTATCGCTCTTATTGCAGTGCTACATGCTACATGTTATTCCCAGTTTACAAACTTTGATAATATTAAATATGATTAATAATAAAGATAAGCCATCTCATCAGTCTGATCTGGGGCACTGTCAAGTTAGAAATCTGTTAGTCTGGAAATGTATACAGTTAGTATAATTAGTATAAGCATTTGATAATCTAATTGTACTGGCAGATACATAACTTCCTTAATGCAAGTGTTACAATATGGTGAAAATTTATTCATCAACTAAGACAGCTTAGGTTACAATGCTGTTGGTGCAAAAAATAGAAATTATCGAATAAACAAAAGTTAATGTATGTCAAACTAGCACTTATTGTGATCTAAGGTATGTATTTTACACAACTTTTTATGCTCGTATAGGTCAATAAGTAGTAATAATAATAATAATAATAAGTGATATTAAAAATATAAGTATAGAATATAGTTGAAAACTTGGCACCTCAAAGAAAACATATATTCCTTCTTTCATTGTTCAAACTTACTGCTGTGACGGAGTTTGAAGGTAGACCCAGATGCCCCGGTACCACTCGCCCAAGACATGTCAGTTTAGGATACCCTCACTATTCTGCAAGTTACATCAATTTCAACAATTAGCTCGACTCACGCATTATAAGCATTACACCGTATAAAGCATGTAAGCCTGCAACAGTCCGAAATAGCGGGTTTATTCAATGTTGATTTAATCTCGGCGATATCGATGTGTCGTCATTTAGGTAGTATATCGCGATGAACCTTATCGAAATTCAGGTTATGCAAGAAGATGTTCCAGTGTAGAAAAACACAAATGATAAAAAATAATTTAATGAAAGATTGGTATTTGCGGTTAAGTAATTACAATTCATTCTTAATTCATGCGAATCCCTTAAAGTAAAAAAAAAAAAAATCTTCCACATCGGTTCCAATCAGTGCCTCAGCTCAGACTGCGCTGTACATAATGAAATGGTAACATCGCCAACTTCAACAGCACGTCGATAATGGAGAAAAAAAAAACGAAAAAGTTTTTTAAAAACAGGCCCTAATCAGAAAAAAAAACAGTTCTCCAAATCCAAAAACAATAAACGTTGAAGGAAAAAAAAAAAAAAAAAAAAAAAGAAAAAGAAACGATAAATAATTAAATTTAGTAGCCAGAAAGGGCGACTTGCCGGTCCCGCGCGTGCTTTACCTTGTCGCTTCTTGTACGAGGGGAGGCCCACCACGGGGCCGCAGCCCCCCGCGCTCCCCGCGACCGAGGAGCTGATGGTGGATAGACAGGCAGTCCCGGCGCCCCCGGTGGAAGGCCCTGCAGGACGACGCGCCTCCAAGTCACGGCGTCTATAGGCGGACCGAGAGCCGTCGCCGGCCCCGCTGCCGCCACCCCCGGCGGACAACACCACGCGGCCGGGCCTGCTCTCCTCCCCCCCCTACGCCCTCACGTCCTCGAGGCGGTTGCTGGGCACGGGCTACGGGCTGTTACCGCTTGGGGGCGTCCTGCTGCTCATTAAACCAACGAAACGACCGTTTCTTTAGTTTGGATACGTCTTTCGTTCGATTTTGTCACTCACCTTGGATTCGGGGGTTCCTTGGCTGCTTCGAGGGCAGGACCTTTGTTCAGCTTTTGAGGCGGTGGTGTGGTTTCCGCAACGCTTGCATACTGTCTCCTTCGCGCTGTCTCTGCTCACAGGTGGGTATGTAATATACACGCGCGAAATAGCAAAATGTTGTTTGTTTTGGCAGAGGGTAGGTTAGTCACGGTACATCTGAAACAGGCAAGCGGGAGAGGCGTGCATTAGTATGATACACCAGGAAGAGCGGCGAGGGTTGCGCGGATTAGCACAAACGTTAGTATACATGTAATTGCAGTGTTACGAGAATGCGACTCGTGCGTTTTTTTTTTTTTTTTTTCGGCCCCAAGCGAAAATTTACTTCGATCGCACGTTGTTGTATACAATTGGGTCGATCTTACGTATTATATTTATGTACATGTATATGGATGCGATCATTTATAGCGATGTCGTGCTAATGGAATTTAATCGCAAAGTTACATTGTACTCTCTGTGATTACAATCTATCGACTTTGATGTGCTGAATCTTGCGTGATTCAGTCATTATATATACATACACCTATATTTATATACATGTATGTATGTCCCTATCAACAGTTGTTGACATCGGAGCGACGTTACGCAGTATCAACCAAGACAAATATACTTTCAAGGCTTTGCGTGTACATCTGAGCGTCTACCTCGATATAAAAAAACTTTGAGATTTTTTTTTTTTCTTTTTTTTTTCAATAAAAGGAGTATCGAGCATATGTTTCAATGTCGGGTGCAAGAACTCCAACTTTGGAAAGTCGACGGGACACAGCCGAAAAGAAAATGTTGTGTGTGTATGTAGCTTCGGAAATTCCCGCCCCATCGCTTTCAATTCCACCGACGCGTCTCTCCCGAGTTTCGACTCCGGCAAGTTCGGAATAGTGGATAACTCGGCAATTTATGAACTTTATTTACAGAGCGGTATAAAACTGCCGCGGAGCCTCGAAAAGCTGCACTTGAAGGGCTTCTTCCTCTTCTTATCGGTCGATCGTATTTGTACACGCGGCTATACGTGTGCACTTCCTCTCTCTCGGTACGTATACGGTAGACAGGATTTTTCGACGTCTCACGGGGTTCTGCTCTCAAGATTCCCTCGTTCGATCGATAGGGTTTTTTTTTTTTTTTCTTTTTACTTACTTTCCTCCACCAAATAACACTTTCCTCTCCGATGACACTTTTTTCCCTCCGCTTTTCAATAATGAAACGCCTCGAGTGAGCTGCAATTACATAGGACACGATCAAAATGGAAACCAAGAGTTGTTTGCAAACCAACTTATGGACGACGGGAGACGTGTACTTCAAATACTCGCGAGAGACAAAAGTCCGGAATCACTTGGGGAAAAAGTCCTTTTCGCGAAATCTCCTCTCACGTCTCGCAATTTGTTGACTGACGATCGCGCATGAGTATAATATACCCTCAATCTGATGCCTCGCCCGCCAAGTCAGACGCAGGGGGTGGGGGGGTCCTTTGAAAGGTTCGGCGAACCGGGCAATTAAAGCCGAGAGAGGATCCGCTGAATATTCAGGGAACAATGGGAGGAGAGCCGGCTGCACTTGCTTTTCCCGTCAAGCGCAGAGATTCCCTCTAACGGAAGCTCCGTACCTGCGGGGAGTCCTTTCCCTGTGTAATCCATAAATATACGCCCTTGGCTCGGGAGCGATAACTTCTTGTTTTAACGGCCGCCCGACCTGAATTATCGCCCGTGCGGAACTCTGCTGAGTTTACTAAATGCCATACACATATTGATGGGCTCTCTCTCCCTCTCTCTGTTGATCTATTACGGTGTTTACCCAATTTCGATCTTGTGTTTATTTTTAGGACTCTTAGTCCACTCAGTCTTATTATTTATTTATTTATTTTTTTTTTTAATGATGGCGAATCACTTATTTCAATTCACCAGAGTTACTTCGGACGGGAAATGCCACGCGTATACGTTCCGTGTTGTTACGACTAGTTAGAACTAGGTTTGCTTTGAGCTTGTAATTGAATGCCGGTGCTGTAGTAGGAGGAGGAGCTGAGTGTGCATTGAATTTCAGATGGTATAACGTTTACGCGTGGTATTTAAGCGGCGGTGGGAAAACACTTGCTTTGAAGTGCTAATTTAACTTTGTTTGGCCAAAGTGACCAAATGTTGACTCAATTTTTTTTTTTTTTTTTTTCTTTAATGTGCATGTATCTCATGAGTTGCTAAAGTACATCCTAGCTCATTATGTACGTATACGACAGCCTTGCATATATAAACACACCCTTTGGGATCGTAAAAGCACCGTACAGTTTTTATAGCCCGAGAGTTTATGAATCGGCCGGTAACGCGATTATACAACCGACTAATGGATAAAGTTGAAGGAGAAGCGTGAACGCGGCGTGTTAGAAAATATGCTTACAGCCTGCAGCGTGGCCCAAAATAATCAGCGTGAAAGCCCTTAGCTGCGCGTAATTGCACCAACTGCAGCGGACCGGCGAGCTTACCATTGACCTGTTTTTCAATCAAATTCATTACCCCAGCGATTATGAATGTCACTCTTTTCATCTAGATAACTTTACGCGTCGCCATCTACCCTTGCCTTTTACACGATGTATAATCACGTGTATGACCGCGGAACAAGGGGAGAACAAAAACACGCCGATTGATCCGATGCGTGAATATGTTCGTCAAAGTCCATTGTTTTTGCGCTGAAGGAAGGAGTCCGAAAATGAAAAAAAAAAAAAAATAAATCCAAGTACCATTTCGTCCCTTTGAAGCTCGTTGCCGGAGAGTAAAAAAGGCAGTAGGGGGAAATTAATCCAAACGACAAGTCTTTCCCCCTTAAAGCTCCCATCGATAGACGCGGCACTTTTAATCGAACTGCCAGCGGCCGGGCGTATCATAACCAAGTCGTTTGAATACACGAGCCAGCTATACGCGTATATGTTGTGTACGTAGCACGCCACGTCGCGATCCGAGATTGCCACGCTATAAACTTCGCGATTTCTTTTTCTTCGATTCCGCACCCGGTTTTTATTTATAGGTGCTCCAATCAATTCGACTCGCGACGGAATAAATGGCACCCCCGACACGCCAAGCCAAGCTTTTCTCTTTTTAATTAAAAAAAAAAACTCCATCGCCATCTACAGATAAATGTATTTCGGACGAAATAGATGGACAGCGATTTGTTTGCTTATATATATTCCATGCGCTTTTTTCCCACCCCGAGTTGCATCGGCCCATAAGGTATAGAAGCAAAGTTAATTTTAAATGCAATAGCGAACCAACGATGACGGATGCCGGTCGCTCGCACGTGCCCCGTTGCCACGAGCAATTAGTCCGCGGAGCTCTACAACGGTATAACAATAACGCACAGGCCGATGAAAAAGGAGGGATGGAAAAAAAGCAGCCGAACAACTACAGATGAGTGTAAGAGTTAAAATGAATGAATATAAAAACTCGCTGCTCGATATAAGTATACCTCAGCTACGTGCAATCTCTACGTTTTCGTTCCCCATCCCTTGCTTGCACTCGTCGTTTTGTCCCCGTGCTCTGGATTGTAGATTGAGTTTCATTCCCAAAGACCGATGCAAACTTCGAGGAGGCCTATAGGAGAACTTCCAAGAACTACCGATACTTTAAGTACTCCCCTGTCCACCTCTCGGATTTTCTTTTCCGATTCGGTGGAAATTTATCATGTACCTGCTAGTTCGTCATAAAAAAAAATGGGAGGAATTATCTAAAATCGTTGTACAGGTACAGGGTCACACTAGGCTCATCGTGCATTGTGCAGTAGATATATGGGGGTCGGTGTCACTCGCGCGCCATCCAGGCTGTCAGTGGCCGGTGTCGCATGTAGGTATATAATATACGTACTCACCGACCTGATTTACACACCGTGTATGTATAATGCACCCGCTGCCCCTTCACCCCTGCCACTCGTGTTGTCGCTCTCCGCGATTTAATACGATGCGTCAGGTACGTGCCGGTGGCTTTGGCCGCTATCAATCGACGCTTCATTGATCTCCGATACGCGCTGCGTTTTAATTAGCCCCTCGATGATTACCGGAGCGCGGTGGTTTTGTGCAG